AGAACTATTTCTTTTGTCAGCATATTAACACCAAATTCAATCTAAGAAGACCGTAAGAATCCTATTTTAGTAAATATACAGTGACATATTTCCTGTCAGAACTGGGATCATAAAAAATGAAATTCTTATACCTTGAGGTCTACCAGAGTACAGTTTTGGGGCTGCCATGCTTTTTCCAGGATTTCAAAAATAGCTTGAGTGGAACGAGCCATAATATCCACTTCAGTCTGGCCAATAGTAAGTCCAGCAAAACAGAATTTTGCTTCAATTATTTGCTCCTCAGACCACTGTGGATCATTATTAGCATCATCCTTTTAAGAAAACCAGAACAAATACATCACATAATTTAAGCTTGCTATGAGAGGAAAATAACCATTAAAAGATACTAGGTTTTTCAAAAAGAAAATACAAGTTTCAAACTAGTATTTTATGATTAGCATTAAAAAAAGCGACAGGATACACCAAAACCAACATTTTAGGTCACAATTCACAAGATACTTCTTTTGAGCATGCATTTCCAAAGAATTTCAGAATCGTGACTAGCTAGCTACTTACCCTCACTGTGCAAGTACTGTTTATTTTAATTTCTTCAAATATATCAACAGATCTGTTTCAACTGGTGCAGCTTATGCCTAAAAAGTTGTTATACCTACATTTTTCTATTCTTACATACAGTTTGGCTTGTTGTTCTTTGATGGCCCTGTAAGCCATCATTCTATGCACTTAAGACAAAATAGCTGTTGGACAAGAATGCAAGAAAACATTAGGATGGCAAAACTACTGATACTGATAGCGTTGGTCAGACACTAGCACTACTTGCTTTACCTGTCAGCCCTTTAAAGGAGACAGAGTTCTACTTCTGTTTAAGTTTGATTAACATCACAGGAAAGGAAACTTACCTTGTAAAACATCTCAATTTTGGGTGGGTAAAACTTATATCCTTCCTTGACACCAGGGTTTCTCTTGAGGAAGGAGCCAGTAGCAATTCTTCTGCACACCCATTCAATTGGGATCATTTCACAGTGAGCTGCTATGAATGCTGTGTCACTCTGTTTCCTGACAAAAGCTGTTTTGATTCCTAAGTATAAAGACAGCAGCTTAGTTCCATGAGTAGGCACATTCCACACTTGAAACAAGGGTCACAAAATGATCTTTAATTTTAAGTACATCTGAATCTTGTTCTTCCCTGGACTTAAGGGACATACTGAATCTTTGAGTATTTTAAGCCTACCCTGGCCTTGCAAAAGGCAATCAGTGCAGTTATTTCCCACAAGTCTTTAGTTTTGCCACTTTTATCATACTACACTCACTTGTAGCTCAGAAATCATGTTCTTGCAAATAATTTTGTTCACAGAGCCTTTTTAATAAATCTATCCTTCACAATGTTTTTGTTTGTTTAAAAAAAAAAAAAATTAGCAGCAACCAAGTACCCAACCATGCTCTCTGGTGGAACATTCATTACACATTGAATTGTGTAATTGGAGGGTTTCGAAGTAAAGGGAGCATGGTAGTCTTTACTATTTTGCTTAATGAAGGAGGATGGCGCAGAGGGCAGAATGGCTTTGTCCTCCCTTTCATTGCAAACAGTTATTTAGGGCAGTAGATCTTAAGGATTTCTTAGGCAAAAGACAGTAAAACCCAGAAGCTTGTGTACCCAAACAAACCTGTTGCAGCAAGTGAGCATTTTTACATGGTAAGATGACCGACCCCATATTAAACAGGGACAGCCAACACGTTCAGATCAGCATTTTAAGTGCAAAATGGCTCTTTTTTTAAATTTCGCTCTTGAGGAAAGTCCCACCTTTCTCCCCAGCCAAGAGCAAGACAACTGTCAAGCCCAACTGGCATCTGGCAGAAACAGAAGGCAAAGGAGCTGCATTCAAGTCAAACGAAGGAGTACCTCTATTCCACACCACTTCCAGAGCCATAAAGAAGGAATTAAAAGGTCTTAAAATATAGTATTAACACTGACTCTTCAGATTTTGTTGCGTTTCCTTCAAGGGCAGAATGATTTAAATAATCAACTGCACATTGAGGCACTTCTAAATCCAGGCATTACGGACCCTGTATGGTTCACTACTACATTTTTCATCAGTGCAGATGTGCTTTTGCTGGGCTGACATTAGCTCTATTATAAAAGGGAGAAAAACTTTAACAGAACTTCGTAAATCATCAACTCTGAAAGAGCAGGTTAGGAAGAGTTGCGCAAAGCAAACAAACTACTTCTATAATAAGGCAGCCATATTATCTGCCATTTACACTCAAATAAGCAAACTGGAAAAGAACCCTAGAGGTCTTTTATTGCTTTAAAAAGCAGCTGCAGTTTACTCTCCATGTTTTTTCCACAGCACCTGTGGAAGGTATGAGTACAACCCATTTACGGATTTTTGACAGGTCTACAGAATGGCTTCTTCATGTTAAAAGTTCACATTTCTAGGAAATGAAATATTTTCATTGTTATCTTAACTTGCCATTCAAAAACTAGGCAAAACATCTCACTAACTGTTCCTAAACAAAAATTGGTAGTTTAAATCAACTACAGATATGATCAGATACCTTGGAGGCTTTCTTTGTACTCCTAAGAAAGCCAGCGACTGAGGATTACACAGAATTACTTGATGTATCTTTGTCTCAGTCCATATTTTAAGAACCACACACACAAAAACATACAACTCTACAGAAACCATCTGTCTCTTCCTCACATATGAAACATACTAGGACTTCACTGTTTGTCTGAGAGCCATTACCACACCTTATAACAGATAATACAAATTCTAGACTAACTCAGATGGTACCCAAAGCAATCTTCGTGTCAATGCTTCAAAGCGCACTGAGCACACAACTATAAGCAGTCTTGACCAAGTTTACTGGTGCTTGTACTACAGTACTGTTTGCAGACTCACCACCAGCACAAATTCCTCTTTGCAACCTGCAAACTTCTCAAAGACATTTCAAAATGCTTTCTCAAAGCAAAGCTACTGGCTCCATTTTTGGAAATGTAGTGCAAAACTTACCCAAGTGACTCAAGTTAGTTATGTATCCTGTGACAGCTCACTTTTAGCATCAGAGATATTTTGAGTTTTTTAAAGCAAGTTTTAAGCTTCTGACATTCAATACAGACTGATAAATGTATTTGCAATGTGGTCCTCACATGCGTTGTAGAAATGTACAAAACTAACAGAAACTCTATGTTGCTATAACACAACTGAGAGGGGAAAAATACACTGTAATTTAATGTTTTAACATTCATACACAAATTTCACACAGCCTAGAAGTAGTGTGGCAGTGCCACTAGCTAGCAGTGACTTCTATGCAGGCAGATGTATGCAGAGGGGAGGATTAGGGGCACGTCCAAACAAGTAGGAGAAACTACTGTAGTTATCTGCCAGACTAGATTACTGCAATTACTCTCATGTTCCAAATGAACAAGTCGTCCACCCATTTCTGAAGTACAACAGAGAAAAGCATAACTAAAAACTAATAAAAAAGAGACTAAAAAACCACCAGAGCCTCAAGGCAGGCTAAACCCTTATACAGAAACAATGCTGTTTTGCAATAATGTCTGGAACACAAGGGTATATATTCTACCTTTAAAATACTTACCCGCTTCCTGAAGCAGCTGAAACACACAGCTAGTTGTTGTGTTGGAAATGGCAGCCTTCCCTTCCATTCGGTCCTTCCTGGCCGCATTTCCCGCCGTTATTTGGTCTTTTGACTGCATGAGAACACATCCCGGGATGTCTGGCAGCTCATACACTTCTTTCGTTTTACCTTCATTAACTTTTTTACCAAGTTTCAGGTCTACAAAAATTAAAAAAAAAAAAAAAAAAGAAATCAGTTTAACACTGAAAGGACTTGTTTACTTCCGCACGCACGCCCACAACTTTTTCGTCCAAACGCGGACCCAGCAGGACCCCGCGCTGCGGTCAGAGACCACGAGGAGCTCGCTAAGCCCCCACCCACGGTGCGACTTGGTCCCGTTCCCCCCGATCAGCGAGGCCGAAAACCATCGCTCCGGGCTCCTGTCCAGGCGGCCCCGGCTCGCCAGGGACGCGCCGGTTGCAGGCGGGCAGGTCCCGCGGGAGGCAGCGGTGCTGCCCCGGCCGTGGGCAGCCGGGAGCTGCCGCCTGAACGCTACAGGCAGGACCCGCGCCACTTTCACCACCTTTTTTTTTTTAATCTTTGGGACAAACTCGGAGCTCCCCGATCTGAGCGGCGCGGGGCGGCAGCCGCCCGCAGCATCCTCCACCTGGAACTGCCCGTCGCCGTCTCTCCGGCGGGACAGGGGGCAGCCGTGCCCACCCTCGTGCTGGGAGCGGCCACACACAAGAAAAAATACATAAATCAGAACTGCGCGAGAAAAAAGTTGGCTCCGGAGCACTTACATCCCGAGCCCGCTACGAGGGCACTGGCCCGCGGGAGCGGCGCCCTCGACCCACCCCCGCGACGGCCGCCCGGTTACCTGATGCTGCGGGGGCCATGGCTGCGGCGGGAGCGGGCGCGGGCACCGGCACCTAGAGCACAGAGAGAACCTGAGCGCACGGCGTGGGCTCGGCCGCTGGGGTAAGAAGGGGCTGGCGGAAGGGGCGGGCAGCCCGGGCCGCGGAAAGCGGCGCCGCCCGCCAATCGCCGCCCAACGCAGCGGGGCGGCCCCGCCGAGCCCCCCGGGCGAGCCCCGGGTGTCAGCATCTCCCCCCCGTCCCGAGCAAACACGGCCCCGACCCGCTGCCCAGCCAATGTCGACGCCGCACCGCGCCCGGCCCAGGGCCCCCCGCGCCCCCTGCCCCGCGGGCAAACATCCCCCCCTGGCCTGGAGCGTCCCGCGGGCAAACATCCCCTCCCGGCCTAGAGCGCCCCGCGGGGTCGCGGGGCCGAGGGGAAGCGAGGGGAGGCGGGGCCGGGCGAGGCGGCGGTGCGGGCCGGGGGTGCGGTGCTCGCCCCCCCGCATGTAAATGAGGGCGGGAGGCTCCCGGCGGGCCACCGGGAGCCCCGGGCGGGAGGCGCTGTGGGCTGAGCGCGCCGCCGGCAGCAGTGCGCGGGAGCGGCCGGAGCGGGGCCGGGACTGAGAGGGGGGCCGCCACGTGCTACCCGCGCCATGGAGCTGGAGGAGCTGGGCATCCGGGAGGAGTGCGGCGTGTTCGGCTGCATCGCCTCCGGCGCGTGGCCCACGGAGCTGGACGTGCCCCATGTGCTCACGCTAGGGTTGGTGGGGCTGCAGCACAGGTAAGGAGGCGGGGGGAGGGGGGGGCTCGGTGGTCGGCTCTGGCCGGACGGAGCCACCGTCCGGAACCGGCGGCTCCGTGTCGGGGCCGGGCCGCGGCGGCTGCCCCGGGGCCGGTCGGGGCCCCGCGCCAGCACGTGCAGCTGGGAGGGTAGCGGGCGGCAGGAGCGGGCTGGGACGGGAGAGGAGCGGGCTGGTACAGGAGTGGGGGAAACAGCGCGGCCGGGGGGCCTTCCCGCCCCAGCCGGTCCCTTCCGCCCCGCGCTGGCGGGGAGCCCCGGCCGCATCCCGGAGGCGAAGCGCAAGGAACGCCCCGGCGCCTCCCGACCCCTCGGGCCGGCCCCGCCGAAGAAACAGTTCTCGGATGCCTTTGGACCTCGGCTGCATCTCGCTTGAGTCGCATCCGCTGCCGGGGCCGCGCCACCGGCCCGGGCGTGCGAGCGTGTGTGCGCGGAGCCCGTGGTGTCGCCGCGCCTCGGGCGGCGGGGATGCGCCCCGTGCAGCGGGATTCGCTGCGGGATGCGCAGAGGGATGCGGGAAAGCGCCGGCCGCCCCGTCCCAGCCACGCTGGGCGCTGACCTGCCGGCGGCTCGGCGAGGCCCTGCCGTCACTCTCGAGATGCTCTCGTTAAAGTATAACTCACAGAAATCGAGGTTACCGAAACCGAGCAGTACTTGAACGTTTTTAGGCGCCTGCTAGCCATAGTGGATGGATCTATCACCGTGATACAATAAAACTTCTACCTAGCATGTCTATGGCAAGGTACAACAGACCTGACTCGCTGTGATCCATGTGGATGCAGAGCTGCAGAGTGAAGTTTGGGTTCTGCTTCCATTCGGTTGCCATCCAAAGTAATAATGTTATGGTCTGACATACACTAATCGTGTTTTTAGTGGTGCCAGAAAGGGATATCCTCCTTGTGGGAACACGTGCACAGACAAACACACACATGCTCGCTTAGTGTAGTACATGCTGGGCTTCTGTTGTACACGCAGCCTGTATACTGTGCTTATCTTCACAGTTGCAAAAAGTGTGCTAAATAAACACATTCCTGACAGTCTGCGTAGGTGGGCTTCTCCAAGTACACATGCACTGAATAGATCAAATATGTTCTTTGTATTTCTGAGGTCACAGACATGTAAAGGTTGCTTTGAAATTGTTTTTGGACCAACAGTAGGAAATAGTTTACGCAGAGATTTTATGTATATTACAGTGGAGTTTCAGATACTTTTACTGGTGAAATGCTGCATCCCTACGTGATTCTTGTATGCTAATAATTCAGTTTGGGCTGCAGGTGTGTAATTTATAAGCTATATATATTTGCCAGTATCCATCAAAAAAAATGTTATTGGGAGTTATAGAGCTGCAGAATTCAAGGAACAACGCCATGTAATTAATAGTCTCAATTTAGGTTGTGCCTTTTATCTGTGAAGAGGCTGGATAAGAAAATCTTACTTCATTTTTTGCTTACAGTTGTACTGGTGGACCTGAAGTTTCTTAGTTGGAAATAAAATGATCGATGTATTTTCATTACTTTCCTTTTCATTATCTCAATTTTCATTGCAACCTTATTTCATGATTTTTCAATATGCATTTTTCTCATATTTTTTTTCTTTCTGATGGGTACTTGACAATTATATTTAATTTGCATGAGCTTTTTAATACCACATATCCCCTGTGGAGGACACAACTGTAGACAGTAATACTAATGTTATATTGAAACTAAGCAGTTCACAAGTTCTACAAGAAGCTACACACCTAAAGACATATATGCACTGCCTCTGATTCTGATTTTCTAACTCAACAATTGTCAAAATTTTTAAGAGATGCTTTCTTAGAGACATAAACATTGCATATGTGAAGTGAAATTGGGTATACCTTTGCAAGTCTGTTAAATAGCTGAGATGTTAATGTTCCCACTTCCTACTTAAATGTTTCTCTCTAACCTCTTTGCATATTTCCTACTATGAGGTGTAGAAGAGTTAGCATCCCTATCAGGAAGTAATAAGACAATAGCTATTTTTCTTTCTACTTTTTGGAATGTATGTTGAAAACCAGAATTAAGAATTAGCATTAACTGCATCAGTAAATTTCATTAATCCCATTGTTTTAAAGTTAAAAACTAAGACTTGTTTCTTAACCATAGGCCTTTAAAGATAAGTAAATATGAAAGAAAATTGTAGTAAATATTAATGGGCCATCCAAGTCAGGCCTCAGTGACTAACAAATTTGACTGGCCACTAGAAAATGCAGTCCTTCAGTGGGGATGTTTGCAAATGAAAACTTGAAACTCTGTATGCTGGATCAGGCTATCAAAATATTTAAGCATGTATTCAGTGGTGTGTGAGTGGTGCTCAATGCTGCTCTGAAACTATTCTGCATGAAAAATTGGAGTGTATATGTAAGCAAGGCTCTGGAGCCCACAAGTAGGCATATCATGAAAGATAAAAGATAGAGTTGAAATTTCACTAACATGACATAAGCAGAAACAACTTTAAAAGTTGTTTTGGGTTTTGTTGGGCTTATATATATATATATCATTAAAAAGCGGCTGCTAGATTGTTGAGGCTTAAATTCACACTCCTTTATAGCAGAAGTTAGAACATTTCATTGGCTCTTACTTTATGATGGTAAACTGTGAATTAAAATGAAAACCAGTATATTCCTACTCACAGGCTAACCGAGGCCTTCCACGCACTAAGAACATTTTATTGATTTAACATTTTACAGCTATGTTAGCAGCAAACGTTCATTATGTTTGAAACTTTCAATTCTGCTAAAGCTAGTGCTGTTACTCTGGCGTCAACATTATCAAGGCTCAAAAGTAGATGTTCTAAATCATCTCTGCGTTTTGAAAGCCAGGGAACAAAGTCTCTGCAAAATCCACTGACAGCGTGCCAAAATAAAATCAGAGGATATTGGTAAGGAGAGGACATTCTTGGGGGCGGCGAGGGAGGGAGGAGGAGTTACTCTGAGTTACAAATCTATTAAACATCATTTGAGTCCTTGACCAGGACAAATTTGCAAAGTTAATCTTCGAACAAGTGTGATTTCTGTTAACTTTTTGCAAAATTCCTGAGAAAATATTTTTGGCAGTAATACTGTGTACAGAAACCTGAGTGCATCCAGTGTTGTACTGATTTTTAGAAAAAGGCTTTGAAAGGCCTCCTCTATGCAAGTGGACATCTCGTTGAGTCAGGGAATAATCCCTTGTCCCAACTCAGCTGGGCCCGTGTATGAAATTTGTTGAGTGGAGGCTTTGCCAGTGTGCTTTTTGGTACCTTTCCTGTTACTGTACACTATTAAAACCCACACAACAGAACCCAGATAATTGCCAATATAATTCAAGAATTTTTACTCCTCTTTCAATCTAGTTTTTTTTACTGGTTGCTTTCCATTAGCCATCGTTCCAAATACCTACACTCGATATAATATAATCAAAGTGTTAACCTTCTATATACAATGTCTTGGCTACAGGATAGGGGTCATTTTAAAGGCCATTTAGCAAGCTGTTGATATCCTGACTTACACCTTGAATCTTCCAAACAAAAAGCTTAAAATCGTGACAGTATTTGGATGGGAATTTTCTGAGGAACACAGATATGCTTAATATCAGGTAATGATTTAGTATGTAACATATATACCTCTTCATTTCATTTCAAGAACCCATTATGAGTTCAGCAGACCCTCATTCCCAGGTGCAAGAACTGCAGTGTTAAATGTTTTAATTGTCTAAATACCAAATTTTATAGTTAATCATATTTCTGTGTAAATTCCCTACGGAATTTATGGGGTAAGATGTTCGTCTAGCTAGTGATTGAGTCTGTATGCTGTTTTACGGGAACATTCCTGCTCTATGTACTGGTAAAACATTCCTGATTACTTTCAGAGACACTGAATGTGGATGTAGAGACAGTTTTATCTTTTAGTTCTATCTTGGCTTAAGTTTTAGGCCATTCTGCAGGTGCTGACAGCCCTGCAAAGCTTGCTCCTGCAGGAAGAGAGGAGGAGCAAGGCCTTTTTGCTGTGGTGAGCTCTTATATCTGCTCAGTTGTTTTACATAACATCCTGCAGGGCTCGAGTTCCTGCAAGTTCATTTTTGAGAAAGTGAAGATAACATAGATTTCCATTCTAACCAGGTTCAGGCCGCTTAGGTGTACATGTCACAAAGTGCTTTCAGTATAAGCTCTTATCTTTGGATGTGGAGTAAGCAACTGGAACAAGATAATGTAAGACTTCCCATTTCATTAACCTAGCTATGGAGTTGGGGTGAGACTCAGCATCATACAGCTCTGCAGTAATTTTCACAGATTGTTCTTTTGACTTGTCTGCCTATACCTTAAATTTTAGCCCCATGCATGGAAAGAGGGTTGTGCACAGCATTGGAAGTTCTGACTGGGTAGTGCAGTTCCAATAAACTGTCCTTCATTATCTGCCATGTTTTATATTACCATTCCCAAAACATTGAAAACAAGAAAAAAACCGGGTTTTTTAGAGGGGCTTTTTATTAGGTTAGTTTAAATCAGTTCTGTCAGCTGGGCAACCACTTGACCACATAACTGATTGTGCCAACACAAAGGAGACCTTGCCAAATAAGAAGCGAAGGATGACTGGAGGCAGATTCTTTTAAACCTAGAGTTATGCTGATAGTGCTTGTGGATCCACCATCAGTACAAGCATTTCTGCTGCCTGAAGCCTGTTCTCAAGGTGTTTGGCCTAAAGAAGTGTAAAGTGACGCATTCATCTTAGTGAATGAGCATACTTTGGAGAAGAATGGCACTTTTTAGTGTAGGTCAGAGTGGTGATAGCTCTGCTTATCTGCTACACCTCAAAAATTTCAGTATTGCTATTTGAAGATGGGAGGAGACAGATTTGCCCTCACACTAATCTTGATGGCCCTCTGGCAATAATGCAGATATTTGAGGAGGGAGAAGATCAAAGATCTCTGCTTTTTATAGGATTGATGCTCTTGCCATCATCGCTTGTTGCTAGTTTTGATTTTTAAGATGGAGCATGATGTGATTTATATTAAGATTCCCAGGGTCAGTTACATGGTCCGGCTTTTGGATCTATGTCTTAAGAAAAGCTCTCCTCCCAAACCACTGCAGTCCTGTGGTAGTGCCCTGCACATAACCATTTAGCTTGTGTCAGATGGTGTCCCAAGTTCCATTTAACTGGCCCAGTTACTGTGTCTAGACTAACTAATGTGTGACTGTAATAAATGCAAAGCTGTGATGACAGCAGAGCCACAACAGAAGCTCAAGTGAATATAAAAATACACTGGAAGGATGAGTTGGATTAACTAAAACTATTTTTGAAATTAGTTTTCTGAGAAATCCTTCAACCTAGCAACATTCTATTTAACCCATTGTCACTACCCAAGGAGATGCTGTCCCAAGGAGACAGATCATAGCTCTGAACAACCAGAATTCTAAATGTACAACATTGATGTAATTTTGTCTCTAAGTAAAAAGTGATGTGGAATCATAACTACAACTGCAGTGAAGAAAGGTTGTCTTGATGCCACTTTATGTGTCTCAGCAGCCTACGTATTCAAGTAAATTAATTGTTATCTGTGTAAATGGGAGTAGGATAACTATGATATTAGATGATGCCAAGTGCCCCGTCTTGCACTTGACATGTGTTACCATCTTCAACTGACAATAAATGGACAGCAGGACATGAGGAGACAGCTTTATGACAAAACAATTACAAAAAGCAAGCTCTGCTTTGCAACCACAAAGCAGAATAGAAGTGGAATCCCACACAGAGGGAAGTCCACCTTCTTTGGACATTTGTCAGATAAATCCTGCTCTCTGGAAATTTTTCTGAGGAAAAAAACCCCTTTACTTGGAAAGGCACTGGTGATGGGTTTTTTTCTGTCGGTTCTTGTTTCATGTCTACCACCTAGTGTTGATAGGGACAGTTTCCAAGTAAAGACTGCAAGTGCACTCTGCAGTTCTCTGTTCTGACCTGCTAAGAATTCAGTGAGTCCTTTGCCCCAGGGCATTTGGGCTGTTTTCAACTGAACAACAGCATCTAAAAATAGCTACATATTTCTTGAAAGGTCTGCTTATTTTAATGAATAAAAGGTCTTTATTTTTCATTTGCTGGAAGAAGAAAAAGGGGCTTTTTGGGGGACATTGTACTGAATGACAGCAAGGTTGATCTAAGCTGTTTAAATGTACTGAATCAGGGCTGAATTACACATTTTTCTAGTTCATGTGTGGAGGAAGTAAGCTGTGATTTTAGTACTCTTGGGAATGGAGACATCTTCAGCTGGCTTAGCATGTTCTGTACCCAACTGTTGTCATGGCAGGGGCAGACCTTGTCCTCCTACCAAAGACAGCAGTTGTGTATGCAAGTAATACTATGCAAGTTCAAGGATGTACCTTTGAAGCAACTCGTTATAAAGAGAGAAGAAAGATTTTTAAAGCAATGATGATACTGGTAGTACAAGCTGAAGAAGGTTTATACTGAGAAGTCAATGTAAAAAGTGAAAAGTGGTAGGTAAACATACACTGGAACAACTGTATATCCGTGTCACTGTATAAATGATTATGATCAAAAAACTATGATTTTTAGGGATCTTTCTCTTGATTTCTCAGAATTGTGTTAAAAATGCTAGTCAAATGACAGATAAAATCCACCTTGGTGGAAAGTGTTTGCCTTAATCATGTCTCTGATTAAAGAATTGACAAGAAATTAATTAACCCTAGGGCAGGAAATAAAGCATTATATCCAGGTTTTGTGAAGAGGGACTTGGGTGGAATTTAGGCCTCTTTGTATAAAGGAACCTGGTGGCTGTTGCTTCTGCAAAAGGACTTGACTATTTGACTTCAGTTGTGCCCTTATGTGTGCCCAGACCTAACTTGGCTTTGGCAGGGAGGTGTAGGTCTATGCCCAAACATGACTGAGATCCAGAAAGGAGTTGTTTTGCTTGAATACACTGAAAGGAAAACCCTGCAAGTGCAAAGGAAAACCCTGCAAATGCATGCCTCCCAGGCAATATAGACTGTAGAGTACTTACACAATCACCAAATGAAGTAGTGTGTAGTAGGATTTTGCAGAAGAAGTTATGGCATGGCATTTGTCTCTTACCATGTCATTGCTCCCTGCACTGTTACTGTGTTTTCTGTACTTCAGTGGTTACTGGGCAAGGCAGACCCCTTGCCCAGTACAGAACAGGGCCTAGAACCCAAACTTGCCCCTTCTATATGGGCATCAACTCTGGGTACTTTCTTTCTGGCTCACTGAATTCTCCAATTCATTGCTGCACAGCACCAAGCCTTCAGTGGGCAGATGGGGATGTTCCCCCACACCAGCATAGGCAGGGGGAGAGGCTAGGAGGAGGGTAAATGCTGGCAAAAGACTTAAGAATTGTGTTTTCCCCACCAGCCCTGCCTAACTAAAAAGAACTTATCTTATGGCTTCAACTGTTTGGTTAATTGCAGAGGACTCACTTGTTAGGAGGACCATAGAAATGGTAACTGTAAGTGATAGGATGAAATTTTAACGGTACATGTTTGATCAATAAAAGTATTATTTTCTTTCAATTAAGCTTGTTAATTGTGGCATGTAGGTGAGCCAAGACGTAGGCAGACATGGTGTCTTTTATTAGACTGGCATTACTGCTAAAAGCTCATAGTTAAGGATTATGATGGGAACTCATACCTTGTTTTTAGTTTAAGTGACTGAAGGTGACTATATTAAAGGGGGGAAGCAAGCATGTATTCATGTGGGTAACTTAGACTTATTTCATTTCTTACTACCCAAGAGAATCTATTTGCATGCTAATTTCATAGAAAGTTCATTAAACCAACCTGTTTTATGGCTGATGGATCAGCATAGAGCTGTGTTCTGTTGAGGTCTTGCATTTCTTCGTGCTTACAAAGCCTTTCTAACAGCAACTTTTTGCCTTCTGTTACTGTGTGCGCTCTCTCTGTTAATAGCTTTTGGAAATGGAGTATGGTGTTTTCAGAGGCACTTTTCTTGAGTGGAACAGTTGACACCTCTGTGGACAAAAGCAAAGTCTGTAGTTAGATGCACAAGTCAATGAACTGCTGACACTGAAGTTTAGCACATGCTAAATTTTCCTAGAGCAGTTCTTCTGTTCTGCTCTTTTGGCAGTCCTTTCCTGCTGTTGTGTAAGGGGTCATTGTATAATGGAGAGTAGGAATGCAGCAGACCTTGTAAAAATCACTTACATGTGAAACTTTCAGTTTTGCCTAGCTACAGCCTTCTCCAAGATGTACTTACATAATAGACAATACATGAAAGTATATTTAATCACACAGTTAGTATGTTAGTACAGTTTGTGATGGTGAACTGAGCAAGCTGTATTCAGAAATGCCATTTTCAGATCATTTGTGTTCATCTGTCTGTAGACAAGACATCATGTTAGTATTAAAAATAGGGGTGAGCCTCCTAAAAACTAAGTTTGTCATCCTCCATTGTTCAACTTTCCCATTATTTAGGGATTGACAATTCTGCAGGAAGAAAAATAAGCTCTGACCTTTACTGTTCTAGATCACATGCTGTGTATTTCTATCCTTCCCATCACCTTTCTCTCTCCATGATTGTGTACCGTATCTTCTCTTTGGAATAGCTGTCTTAACCTGTTTTCTTGTCTACAACACGTTAGTCATTTCATGTTAGACATGATATGTCTTAAACATAATTTCTTCTCTCATTTACAGACACACAGTGTAATATGAGGAAGTCACATCCATGACTCTGATACTGTCCCTTTTTTCCCCCCAAGCAACACAGGTAATTCAGACATCTTGCTTTAAAAATATTTTTATAATTTCTTTGCACATGATTCTTATGAATCAGAGAAGTATTTCGTGATGTTTACCTCATTTATACCAGGGATGAGGACTGAAATAAAGAAATTGGAGTTTTCCTTAGGCCCACATTTTTATCAGAACTCTTCTCTTGCAGATTGTTGTGTGTGAGAGAAGGTTGGTTTGGAGCTTGGAGTTAAGTTCTAGGATTTTTTTTAACTGTTTGAATACTGGAAATGAGAATCTGGCATCCAATTTAACAGCAGTGTATAGATGCTTTTAAAAGTCAGGGGTTCTTACCATCGTTACATATTTTTCTCTTGATACTCAAGGATCCTGTGTTTGCTGTAACATCTCCCACTGAAACACAGAAGAGAAAAATAAGGTGACTAAGTATTTCGCAGAGATTCTCAGGGCACAGTCAGTTACACACCAAAAAGTTTTATCCTACCAAAGCAAATACAGTGGGACAAGTGACCTGGAGCAATAAGAATATACTAGAAAAGTTAGGTGCTGGCTTGGCACACAAAATCAGGGTGGAGACACATTTATTTGGCAGATGCCTCAAACAGATTAATAACTAAAGCTTCTTTTTTTAACATTATTGTTTTACTGTCTGCTGCATCAGCATTCACAGCCCAGATTACACAGTCCTTTTCTAGCATGCTAAAATGTAAACCAGCCAGTTTGGTTCAAATATTCTTGGTGCTGACAAATCCCACTCATGGAGAGCAGAAACAAGCAGTGATATCTTCAGTTTCTGCATTTGGAAGAAAATATGTCTGGAGATTGAGATTGAGCACAAGAGTTAGGCAGGGGAGAAGCAGTGTGTCATCCCATAGCTGTGTGGATGTCATTCCAGCCTCAACTAATACACTACTGTATGGTGGCCTTGGACACCACATTAGGGCTCTGATTCGTGACTGAGGACAGCTGACTTAAATTCCTGCTCAAGTTGTTGATCTAGCCTCTGCTGCAGAATGGTTCAAGTCCTCAACTAACATTTGTGGTGTTGCAAATTATCATCTAACATATTGAGAACAATCGGAATTAGTTCTGGTTTACCATAACTCACTGAGCTCTAAGCTGCAGAGGTTCAGTTGCTTCTCCAAGAGTATCTCATCTGCCTGGAGCAGGGGCAGGTGCCCCTGATGGCTGCAGCAGCTGGCCAGTCATGAGAACCCTTATAGCAGACACAAGATTAGATCACAATACTTTTGATACTAAAATAGAAGCAAACTCTGTTTTGAAAACTGGATCTGCTTTAGGAAAATCAATATATTTACAAGTGCTCAAATAAACATCACTGCCCTGGATTTTTCTCTCTCTTGACTGTGGTGTGAATTGAATTAATATAGTTTGGGTTTTTGGAGTCCTTGCACTTGGCTTGGTTGCTACAGATTTTTGCAGTTCTAAGTGGTACGACCTTGCAGCTCTCTATCCATCAGACTTTACATGCCTACTATATGACCTCTAGAACCTGACGTGTTTTCTAGCACCATTTCATTGTGTCTCACTTGGGCTTCCAAAGGCAAAGATTCTCCAATAACATTGAACGCTTCAGGTGCTTTCACTTTTTGCAAATATTCTCACTTCTATATGCCTGTAGAGACCATCTGTGTTCACTGAGTATACCCTATGTAATCATGCAGATACAGCTTCCTCAGTTATTTTCCCTCCCCAGTTCTGGCCATGTGTTTTACCCCTACAGCATGGCTCAACAGGCAACCTTAAAAAGTTTCACTTTAAACACTTTATCTCATCATTGAAGTTTTTAGTACCTGATAGGACACTTGAACTTTCACATCCCCAGCTTGAGGGACCCAGAGGTTGTCTTCTTAAGATACAGTCAACTTCATCGTAAAATCTCATTTTTCTCCTGGGATTTCCAAGATGCTCATTTTCTTTCTGCAGTGCACGGTATTCATATTTTAGGTTCTTGTACTTTGTGCGACATTGTTTCCAGTCTCTGTCTATACCACGTTTCATTAACCTTCTGGCAATTTCCTCAAAGATTTCTTTATTTCTTGTGGCGCCTTCAAGCATTTGTTGTATCTTTTCATCTGACCATATGTTTATCAGAGCTCTCACTTCATTATCACTCCAGTGCTTTCCTGCTCCAGTGTCATTAACTGTAATAACTTTAAAGTGATTTTGTGCTTCTTCCAAGTGAATGTGATTGTCTGAAAATATTAACAAAACAACAACTAAATATAAATGCTATAAATATATGCTAAATATACATATATTAAAGCATAATTGTAACTAAATATTAATCTTTTAACTTTACAATATTAGTATCCATAGGTGATTACTTTTCTCTTAAGTATGCAAAATATGTAGTGAGTGGAATCTCTTATTTCTCCAAGGCATATAAAAGTCAACATTTTGTCAGTGTAATTTTGTTACTGTTGTCAAATTAAAGACAGATGTTATACGTAGGAAAGCAACAGCCCTTAAGCTTTAAAGCAAAAGATTTCAGCATTGATAAGAAAATGGCTATCCAGTGTGGTTTCAAATTAAAATGGCAAGGCAAAATATCATGCAAGTGAAAATGCTACTGGGGATTCAATAGAAGAAAAAGAAATCTTCAGATGTAAAAATATTCAGAAGTAGGCAGATGCTGCTCATCAGATGAGTATAGAGGGCAAAGTTGTACTACAATATTAATGCAGGTTTTGCTCATGATAGGGAACAGAGCTATGAAACTAATTTTTAAGTTTAGTAATAAAGCTAGACTGAAGTCAGAAGTAGAAAAGTAGAACTGTTTACAGTAGAGATCTGGTTGCTCCAGCTTTGGTACTGAAATTACAATGTGAATAATTTCAGAATAAATGCATGGAAATTAATACTCACCTGTTTCGACCATCTGTTTTGCTACTGGCGTACAAGATCTGTCTTCTGAGGTAGTGCTTATAGAATCATCATCTATAGAAACACACAGTTCTAAATAAAATAGACTTGGACTTAGACAAATAAATTGCTACTATTGGTGTCATCCTCTGTGGGAAATACCTACTTCACTTAAAAACGTCCTAACCCCTTAGTCTAACCTATTAGTTACAGAATTGTAGAATCATAGAATCATTTAGGAGAAGACCTCTGAGATCAAGTCCAGCACTAAACCATGTCCCTAAGTGCCCCATCCACATGTCTTTTAAATACCTCCAGGGGTGTTGACTCTACCACTTCCCTGGGCAACCTGTTTCAATGCTTGACTACACTTTTGGTGAAGAAATTTTTCTTCGTATCCAATGAGGCCATTTCCTCTCATCACTTACTACCTGGAAGAAGAAACTGACTCCCACCTCACTACAGCCTCCCTTCAGGTGGTTGTAGAGAGCAATAAGGAAGCCTCCTGAGCCTCCTTTTCTCCAGGATAAACAACCCCCATTCCCTCAGCCACTCTTCACAAGTCTTGTGCTCTGGACCTTTCACCAGCTCCATTGCTCTTCCCTGGACTTGTTCCAGTGCCTCCTTGTCTTTCTTTCAGTGAGGGGCCCAAAATTGAAAACAGGATTCAAGGTGTGGCCTCACCAGTGCCAAGTACAGGGTGACAATCCTTTCCTGGTCCTACTGGCCACACTATTTCTGATACAAGCCAGGATGCCATTGGCCTCCTTGGCCACCTGGGCACACTGCTGGCTCATGTTCAGCCAGCTGTGGACCCCCACCCCCAGGTCCTTTTCCACTGGGCAGCTTTCCAGCTACTCTTCCCCCAGCCTGTAGCGCTGCAGGAGGTTGTTGTGACCCAAGTTCAGGACCCAGCACTTGGCCTTGATGAACCTCATACCATTGGCCTCAGCCCATCGATCCAGCCTGTCCAGAACCCTCTGCAGAGCCTTCCTGCCTTGCAGCAGATGAACACTCCCATCCAACTTGGAGTAGTCTGCAAACTAACTGAGGTTTCACTCAATCCCCTTGTCCAGATCGTTGATGAAGATATTAAACAGGGCTGGCCCCAACACTGACCCCAGTGGGAAACACCACTGGTAACTGGCCACTGGCTGGATGTAACTGCACCACCACTCTCTGGGCCTGGCCATTCAGACTGTTTTTCACCCAGTGAAGTGTACACCTGTCCAAGCCACAAGCAGATGCTTTCTCCAGGAGAGTGCTGTAGGAGACAGCATCAGAGGCTTTGCTGAAGTCCAGGTAGACAATATTCACAACAAAGTGGGTCACCTTGTCATAGAAGGAGACCAGGTTGGTCAAGCAGGACCTGCCTTTGCTAAGTCTGCGCTGGCTGGGCCTCATCCCCTCTTTGTGTTTTACATTTCCCTTTGGATTATGGGGGCTTCCTTGTGCTCCCCATCTCTGTCTTCTGGCTCAAGGGGCTGGGTACCCTGAGGACAACTGGTCTTGCTATTAAAGATTGAGGCAAAGAAGATATTAAGTACCTCAGCCCTTTCCTTAAGCTTTGTGAGTATGTTTTCCTCTGCATCCAATAAAGGATGGTGATTCTACTTATCCGTCCTTGTGTTGCTGATGTATTTATAGAAACATTTTTGTTGTCTTTTACAGCAGTAACCAGATTAAGTTCTAGTTGGGTTTTAGACCTCATTTTCTCCCTGTATAACCTCATGATATCTTTGTAGTCCTCCTGAGTTACCTGCACATTCTTCCAAAGGCTGTAAAGTCTCTTTTTCTGAGTTCCAGCCAAAGCTCTCTGTTCAGCCAGGGCAGTCTTCTTCCCCACTGGCTTATCTTTTGGCACATGGAAATGACTTGCTACTGCACCTGAAAGATTTCCTCCTTGGAGGATGTCCAGTCTTCCTAGACTCCTTTGCCCCTCAGAATTGCCTACCAAGGGACTCGACCATGTCCGAAACAGGCCAAAATCTGCTCTCCAGAAGTTCAAGGTGGCAGTTCTGCTTCCCCTTCCTTACTTCATCAAGAACTTAAAACTGTCATTTAGTGACCGCTGTGCCCAAGAAGCTTCAAACCACCACATCTCCCTGTGGTGGTCCTTCTCTGTTCACAAACACCAGGTCCAGCAGGCACCTGCCCTATTTGGCTCCCTCACCAGCTATACCAGGCAGTTGTCTGCCACACACTCCACGAACCACCTAGACTGTTTCATCTCTGCTGTGTTGTATTTCCAGCAGACATCTGGTAAGTTGAAGTCCTCCCAAAGGATCAGCAATTGTGAGACTTTTCCCAGCTGCTTATGAAGTATTTAATCTGTGTCTGCACCCTGAATGGGTGGTAATAAACTCCCATCAGGATACCTGTCTTGTTGCCTTTCCCGAATTCTTACCCATAAACACTCAGCTCAATCAGCACCATCATTAAGCTCTAGACAGTCAAAACACTAACTTACAGGGTACCCTACACCCTCCTTCCTTGCCTATTCCTTCTGAAGAGTTTTATAGCCATCCATTGCAGCACTCCAGTTGTGCAAGTCTTCCCACAGTGTCTCCAAGATGGCAACTGTGTCATAGTTTTCCTGCTACACATTGACTTCCAGCTCCTCCTGTTGTTGCCAGTGGTGTGTGCATTAGTATAGGTGCACTTCAGGCTTTTGATCCCACCACCTTTTTAGGGGGAGAAGCTCTGATACCTACATGGCCATTCTCAGGCACTTCTGTGGTTTCTAACACATCACTAAATCCCTGCGTCTTTGCTGCCACATGGATCTCTATCCCCTGACTACTGAGACAGCAGATCAAAGGACCTCTGTAACACACCATCCTGGTGTGCTGCCCTCAGGCTTATCTCTAGCGAGTTTGGTTTTGTCCCTTTCTACTTTCAAATATATTTTAAAGCTCTTCCAGTGAGCCCTGCTAACTCCTGTGCTGAGATACTTTTCTCCCTTTGAGACAGGTGTCAGCAGGTCTGGTGTCATGTAAGTGGAACAATGATCAAAAAAATCAACATTTTCCTTGTGACACCAGGCTTGGAGCCAGGTATTGATCTGCTGGCTCTCCCCATTTCTTCCCTCATCATTCCCTGCAACTAGAGGGATAGAAGAGAACACTACTTGTGCTCCTGATCCCTTAACCAGTTGTTTCAAGGCCTTGAAGTCTCTCTTGATTTCCTTTAGACTTCTATCTGCAAATTCACTGTCTACCTGAAAAATCATCATTCTTGAAATCATCTATGGATGTCAGAAGCCAGCTTTGATGGTTTTGGGCTCATTTCCTCATGATTGGACTTCTCTGAGGCTGAAAGTTCACTTTTTTGTGGAATTACTTTTAGGTTTGGGAGGAAGAGAAAGATTAGTTCTCATTGTTTTGGTAGGGGATGTCATAGACCAATTATCTTCAATACTGTTTTCAGTAAAGGGTAGAAGTAAATATTTGTTATATGTTTTGAAAAACTGAGTGCTTAGTTTAGGCTTTGTCAGAAATAAGAGATAGTCTGTAAATAAGCAGATTCTTTTGATGTGCTTTCCATAATGGTACTTGCTAATATATGCACAGAGCAGTACTTGGAATTCATATTTGCTCTATAACTTGTTTTCTCTTAAGTGATTTGGCAAATATTTGTTTCTCATAAGCATGTGCAGGAATAAATTTTATACCTATGGAAAACTTAGAAATTATAAGCGTGTCTGTGTGATTTACTTGGGGTACTAGAAAAAAAGTGGGTTTTTTCCATAAATAAGCACCCTATAACTTTCTATAACTTTCCTTGGGAAAATTCTTGCATCTTCCTCAACACTTGCAGCTATTGGAGATGGGCCAAAATGGAACTGTAGGTCTGCTTCTAGGCTCTTAATGGCTTTTTTTTTTTAAATTAAACTATTACCAAAACCCCCCATGGCTTTCATTTATGTGCTCATTCTCTCAACCATACTGTCTCTCTAATCTCTTTCTGGTTTTGGCAATGGCACTTGTGTAGTGCTGACTTGCACAATTACTGTCCTCAGTTGGGTATTATATGACAGGAACAGGGAATTTGTGTGTATAAGGCAGGCAGTTGATCTTCATGACATTTTATTCTTTGCTTCACATTTGTGTGACCTCACTATGTCTCAACTTTCAAGGTCACAGATTAACTTTATCCTCAATGTAACTTGTGTTTCTGTGTGTCATTGTTGTGATGGCACTGCTCTGATGTTGTCCTCAGTGTCATACTTGCCACAGTTGTCTTTAATAGTCAAGATCAGCCAATGCAAACAGTTGTAAAGGCTGTGTTGCACTGGATGTCTCAACACCCAAATTCCAGATAACATAATTGCTGAGAAGGAAGCTTTTCCCTGGTATGCCTGATGCATACAATAGAAATGTTCTTATGGTAGAAACTTTAGGTGTCAAAGGTCAAAGAACTGCTGTTCACAGAATCATTATAATTGATTTTTAAAAATTTTTTTCCATTAACTTCTGCATACAAACAGCACTACTGTTAGAGTATATTTTGATCCAGGGGGTCAGGTCACTAGATTTCAATGTCATTAATTATTTCCTCTGATGTATTTTTTTTCGTGATCTTCTGTGGTTTCTATGCTCATTTATTCCAGAATATTGATATGCCTGCTGTGTTCTAATGTTCAATTTTAACATTTTAAATAAAACAAATCTCCTGATTACTTGTCATTGAATATATGATTTCTTCATATTGCTGAGGCTCTGACTTCAGTTTTACTTGTAAAGTTTGAAAGTATAGACAAGGTATAAAATATTCTGAGTTTCTGAGACAGCTATTTAGCTCTCCAGTTTATCCTCTCTAGGAACTGTGTAAGAAAAACTGTATTTGTGTCACAATCAAATGCAGACTAATCACATCTAGCATAAAAAGAGGCACGTTGTCTGGGAAAATAAGATTTTGTTACAATTATGGGAAGGAGAAATAACAGTTCATACATTGTTGCACTATGAAATCAAGCAAAAAACATATTTTATCATCACCAAGAAGTAGATAATTTGCCAGGATAACATATGAACCTTAGAAATCTGCAATTCACAACATAATCAAGACAAAGTCTTGACCTACCTATGTCAATTGTCTCCTTCTTTATTTGTGTGACTTCCAGAGCTGCCGGGGTGGAGTTGACAAAGTCCCCCTCATCCTCAAGGATTTCTGTAAAAAATAATAATTTACAGAGTTCTTATTAACTGAACGGGTCTTGAGTGATGTCTTTAGAATCACCAACTTCAGAATGCCATTCAGGATTTCCTCTCTTAAGACAGTAAAGTTGCCATTTCTCTGCAGTAGTGGGCTTAAGAGCAGAGTGTACCCACTTATTTATTAAAGTACATCCAGAATACCACGTAACAGCTGCATAATATAAGTTTATGGGATAAATGTGCAAACTCTTAAGTTATTTAAACCTGGATCAGAATTTGTAGAATGGTTTGCTGATTGTGGTTGAAAGATATATAGTAACTGGCAAATGTGTGGGCAGCAGAACAGGCAAGACAGTGAATTTCATGAGGGGTGCAATACATACTGAAATTACTGAAAGACTCCGAAGTGACTGATGCCAGAAGTGTCTGAATCAGCTTCAAAAGGGGCAAGGGCCCTGACATTGCATCAGGGTGCTGTGCCTGGACAACTGATCTGCAAGGCTGCCTGCCTGCCTGATGAAGACAGTGTACTAGTGCCTGTCTGAGAGCATCCCCACTGCTTCAGCTTGCAAGGAGTTTACATGACACAGCTGGGTGACAGAAGTGTCCCTGGGCTCCCCTCCATGGGGAGGAGATCTCCGCTACTCTGCCATTGGCCCACTGCTGTTTAAGGGAGAATTCCACCCCTCAGGCAGGTGGATGATGCAAGCGGTCTAGCTGATCCTCACTTCCAGGTGAGGGCACTGCTCTACAGAGATTAAATGGTGAAGGCCACACCACAGATCAATGACAGCAGTTTTTGGCTCCCAGCCTGTTCTCGGTCCACTCAAGAATATTACCCCTAAACATTGAGCAATAAAGTTTAATCTAGAGCCATTTTATTAAAAATTACCCCCCCAAATCAATAGAGCCTTGTTTGCATCAGATGTTCTTTACTATGTGACCAGCATCATGTGCCTTTTTATTTTATTTTTTTTTTCTTAGTGAGCCAAGAATGTGGGTAGGGAGCCTGGCTTTTTTTCTAAGGCACCTTTCAGGGTTTTTGGCGGGAGGGCACGAGAAGAGCAAGACTGAGCCAAACAGAACAAGCCATCGACAATTTCTGGCATGGATAAAACACAGTGGCTCCATCTGCATTGTTCAGTGAACCTACAGAGAGTTGCCAGCAAATATGCTTAATCTCTGCTTTGTGTTTAAAGCATTGCTCTCAAGGCCACCAGAGCAATGCCGTCACAGTCTTTCCTTTTACCCACTGAGACTGATACAAGCTCTGTTCTCTTTTGGCACTCTGTCACTACCACTAATTATCCTGTTTTCTGGCTCATGAGGCAAGATTAGTAATTTGTCTCCTAATCCTTACACTCATGTGTGTCTTATATAATATAAAAGGGAAGTGGGAAACTTCAAAGCTACGGAAAGTTTTCAGTGCATGGCTTGTGTTTACTCTCCAAGAGCTTGCAAAGTTGCTGCCATCTCTACCGTACAGATCTATGAGTGTGGATACAGAAAACTTGAATGCACAGTTAATTGTTTGTGTCTGGAGCCCAAATATGCTTAGGCTAAGCCAGTGAATCATCAAGAATTTTTGGGTTTGCCCATCTCTGAAACACTATTTCATGCTAGCCTGGGACATATGTATTAAAATATTATCTTTTGGCTTTATAGCTGTACGTTTTAAAATTCCAAGCACGCAGCAGGAAGTTTTCAAGCCAACATTAAGTACCTGAGTATGGACTGACTTAAGATCTTAACTTCAAAAAACAGATTTTTAAAAAGCCCTTGCTTAGGAATGTATCTTGGCAATGTCATGACTTATTCCAAATTTGTTCTGAGAGGGACATATAGTAAGTGTGTGGGGCACCAAAAATCCTAAAAAACAATGACAAAAAAAGTAATTTGTTTGAAGAAAAATACTTGCTCTAGATATTTTTAAGAACATCAGGCTACTGGCATTCCTTAGAAACCTGTTTTTATCTCCATTGTTATTCCCTGGCACTTCAGATTTAATCAAAACAGCTATATGCAGTCTGTGGTCATACTCCAAAGTCTGACCCATGTGGAATGTACATGGAATTTGAATTGATGGACTACTACCTGTGCAAACTGAAACGATTGTCTCTTCTGAATAGATTTCTGTAATTAACTCCCCTTTAAAGTGATACCATGAAATAGAAAACATCAGTGAAAATAACTAAGTAAGGGGTTTTTTTGCAGATGGATTCAGTGTGGGGTGTGTTTTACCAGAAGAGAGCAATCAGCACTGTCCTAGCCTGTCCCATCCCAGGCAGCTTTAGCTGAAAACCAGCGGGGTTGGGGGTTGCTGTGGTGCTCCTGCTCCCCCAGCTGGGCAGTACTGACAGCGACATGTCAGTAACAGTGACAGACTATGCAAGGAACTGTAAGGATTTATTTACCTCTGTCTTTTCCTTGTCAGGTGGGCATATGCTGCTCTTTGAGTAACAAATACATGTGGGCAGAGGAGAAAAACAATACCATGACACATGAAATAACTAGGTGCTTTCCTGAAACTTGTGTATTTGTCTTTTGACAAACACCATCTTAATATTTTCCTTACTCTAGAGTATGGCAAACCTGATTGGGCTGTTGATAAAGACTGACAGTGGTTACAAAGTTCCTGTGTCTCCTAATTCAGATTCACATGTAAGATCACTGCCTGATTACCTTTTTCACTATCTATCAGCAAGTAAATTTATGAGTATAGAGGTACATACAATCTCTTTGTTTACCAGTTTCTCACTTCAAAATTATTTGAACTGTCTAGGAAAAGCATCTACCACAATGAGAGAACAAAGGGTCTTCATGACATTCTAGACATAAAAAGCGTGCATCATTTCTCTGCCTTATGCAATACCTAATTATGTTACCATTAATAACGTTAAAGTCAAGATGTCTTTACCACCTGTGATAAAAGTATTTGAGTATGTATTGTTTGTTTGGGAATGAGGGAAGGAATTTTGGAAACTGAAACTGTTACTGATGAAGCATAGTTTTGCCCTTTTTCCCCCCATGGAAGTTTGAAAAGTAGTCCTTAGAGTGGATAGGCTGAGCCACAGACACTTCTGAAACACTTGCTATTTTAATATTTCCTCACAAAATCAGGACATTTATGATTACCCAAAACAAAATATGCAGTTAAAATACATATATTTGAGAAGGGAGATGGTAACCAAGGTAAACTATAGACATCTTAACACCTACTCTTACCCTAAAGGAATGTTAAAGTGTCAAAAATACATACTCAGAATTTTACTAGAAGTATTCAGTAAACTTCATCTTAAATAACTTGTTTGGATATTGCAGTCTAGAAAGTTACAATGTACAAAATACTGCAGGCAGTTGAAAACTGTGTCAGGTGACAGGTAAGGGGCAGTGCTGAATCTGTTATTACAGTGTCTGTAATATGGTCATATGTATGTAGTAATTTTACTTGTTGATGGAGAGGAATGGAATTTGATACATTTTACAAGTAGTCTTAACTGGATCTCACAAAGAGCTGTTTATGATTTTTTTCAAATTTTGTCTCTCTCAAAATGAGGTCCCTATAGGCAATGCACTTTTCATGACAGCCTGTTTTTCTCCACTGAATGCGTCAAGTGCCCATGGTGATCTGGTAAAAGGCCAGTTAGTTTTTCTTTTTGTTAGTAAATTTAAATTCATAAATGTAATTTCCCTTGAATGAAAAAAACCAAAAATACTACCATCTGGTATACCTCAAATTACCTCTCATGATCAGTCATGTCTTTACTTACTTGTCATAGCTGTTTCTTTTGTTATATGAGGAGCTGCCCGATTCTCTGAAGTAGTGTTTACAGTAACATCATCTGTCAGAAAATTTTTAATTTGATATTAAAATCTTCAAGTTGATGTTAGACCGTTTTACATTCTGTAAGACTACTCCTTAATGGCTAATTTAGACCACATTTTGCCTCACACTACTGAAATCATGTAGTGCTTTCTTGTGGGGAGTCAAGTCTGCCAGCCTTCGAGACATTCGTGTGTCTCTAATTGAATGTTAAACTCCTGCTTCCCCTGAAAGTTATGCTTTCAGATGTAAACCATAATGTTTCTTTGTAAACAGCAGAGTTTATGACCTTCATATTCAGGGCTAGTAGTGAGACTCTTAAATGAAATTTTCATCCCCTGACATGAGCATTTACACAATTATATTATATACTGATCACATTATATTGTGAAAAAGAATGCTGTAATAGTTCACGAACAGGAGACTGAACAATTCTAATCCTTGGGAATACGTAGATTAAGTAAAAGTAAATGCAGTAGTACATTGCACTCAGCTTCCTTAAACCATTATTCTCTTATTCTTTACATCTTGGGTCATGAATCTTTGAAATGATTACTTACTACACTGTTTTTATAAAATTCAGCAGCACATAAGCACGTGATGGTTTTCACTATGACATTAGCTGCTGCTTATAAGTTTTTTAGGTCTGTGCATTTTCTAACCATAATTACAATCTGGGCTTATTTTAGAAATAATTCTTAATTGAATAAATTTAGTTATTTATATAAAATAGAAGACTTTTCAGTTTACCTGAATCAGAAACTTTCTTTATATCTGCAACCTGTAGGTCTTCAGATGTATTACTAACAGAGTCCTCTTCACCTGTGTCTCCAGGCATTTCTGTGTAAATAATGCTAAGTTAATTAGGGCATTGCATTTGTGTACTACATAAGAACAGCTGTGCTGTGTCAAATCAAAAAATCCATTCAACCTCAGAAGCTCTTTATGCCAGCAGGCAAAGTAGGTGCATTAGCAAAATGTCTAGAAACGGCAACTGGCAAGTGAATCTTCCCTCAAAATGTTCTCAATAATTTTCAGCCAGAGACTGTCTTCGTATTATATTTTTCTTCTTTCATTACTTTACTAACTTCTAGTTTTATATTTGGCCAACATAATATCAGCCCCTGTGTAGAATCTCTACTGCCTAGTAAAGAGTTTGACATTTAATTCTTTCTTAAACACCAAGCATGTTTCAGGTTGTACATAGCAACAAAAATATTTTAACTCCTGGGTAGTGTGCTCCCATCAGTTTACTCTAATTCTGCATTGATCATCCATTACCAAGTTAATCGAAAATAATCACCCAAAACCAAAGGCAAGTTCTGCCAGCATTGTTGGTGCTATTCCTTAGGCTGTTTTGACAGTTCTCTCACTAGTTTGGGAGTCTTGCTCCAAAGGCTAATAAAACTGAGATATTTGGGACCATAAGAGACAGTTTAAATGTGGAGGTTTTTTAACCAATGTCTATAAATACAGATTTGTTTTGCTCAGTCTCTTAATTTTTCCAGTAACATAGTCTGACCATCTCTCTGATCCATTTCTTTTATCTAAGATGGAAACAGTTTCTTCTGACATGATTTTGACTGGAATTGTCTCTGTATCACTTTAACTTATCCTATGTCTTTATCTTTTCTTCCTCCTTTTGTCTCTCAGTGCTTTTTAAAAAAGTGCCGGGCAATCACTCAATGTGGAATAGTACCTTATAATGTAAGACAAAACTACTAGACAAAATACTAAATTCCCATTCAGTGTTCCCCCTCTTCCCCCCCAGTAAAACAGTTAATCCTTTTGGTTGCTTCTTTTGAGTTCTTTTAAGGTCTCTCTAGTTCTGGAAAACTAAAAATTTTAAACTATATATGGATGGTTGAAGTACTTACCGATGGAGTCCTTTCCTGATTTTGCTTCTGTCCATTCTGGAGGCCTCTCACTTTCATCATTAACTGATTTGCTTGCTTGTTCCATGGTGCAGTGCCCCAGAATAGCATCCAGTTCATTAAAAAATCTCATACCTTTACTTGTACTCCCTGAGTCTTGGGCACTTTTTACACTCTTGTATTCATGTTTCAAATTTTTATATTTTGTCCTGCACTGCTTCCAGTCCCTGTCAATTCCAAACTTTTGAAGTCTAGCAGCAACCTGCTCAAATATTCTTTTATTTCTCACTGTCCCCTCCAGTTGTTGCTGGATATTTTTGTCTGACCATATGCGTATCAAAGCTCTGACTTCATTAACAGTCCAGTGTTTTCCTCCTTCATTTGCTACTGTTGGAATAAAAGCCAGTGGTTTGGAAGCCTCTACTGCTGACGCTGGATTACCTGCATTATGTGGGGTAGGGGAGAGACAGATATGGGTTACCTGCATTGGGTGGTTGGGGTGGGGAAAGGATAGAGAATGAGAATGAAGTATGCTGTTTCCTCATTACTTGTCTCTCCGGAAAAAGATGGAGCAGAGGTAACATTAAAATCCATTAAAATCCCTTAAAAGCCATTGGTTATGAATTTGTCAGCATTTTTGTTAATTCTGATATAATTTTTGCCTTCTCTTGATGACCAGTACTCAGATAGCACATGCACGTTTAATTAATCCAAGAGGAACATTTCTTTCTTCTGTGCCTTGATACACTAAACTTTTAATGCCTTTGAGAACAAGAGATAAGCTGTTTTGTCCTTCAGACATTAGAGAGAAGACTGCTGATAAGAAGATTGGATGTGCTGCATTAGCACAATAATAAATCAGGCCCCAGTCACTGACACTAGCATCAAGACTTACTTTCTGCATTCATGCCATACTTTTGGTTTTACACAGATGGAGAGATTTAAATTTGGTAAGGATCTGAAGAATCTGATCTTTAACTCTTAACAAAGCACCCTGGTTGCAGGGAGCTGAGGAATGGAGACTTTTGCTTCAGTCGCTCAAGAATATTTGTGTGATAACAAACTCGATTGTCATGGCACAGGACCTCCACCTTTCTCAGGGTAGGTCAATCAAAAATATGTGGGGTTTTTTTTGTAAAAATTAGAGTTTGAATTCTCTTTCTCTGCAAAACTAAGATACATTTTAATTTTCTCCAGTCTTCAATTTTATTTTTTATTATTATGAGGTAAAGGTTGCCACCCGTGCAATAACTTAAAACACTGAAATATGGTGTCTTTCAGGTTTTTAATTTTCCCTTGTTTCTAATTATGAATTTTCTGTAAGACTTCCTTTTGATTATCGAATTAGTTTGGAAAGTGGCTTCCTCATGCATTTTCCAAATCTTTGCAAAAATAATGATTTAAAAAAAAAGAACGAACCAAAAAAAATCCCAAAACCAATTCCAGGGCATCATCATGAAAGAGCAAACATGAAAGTGCACTGTAACTGACATTTTTTTGTAGTCATACTGAAGTGATAAATGCCTTTGCCAGTGTCTTATTCTACAAGGGCAAGCCAGATTATGAGGGTTGGATACTTCATAGTCACAGAGCTTTGTGTGATGGCAAAAGTACCTGACCTTTGTTTGTGCACAGAGTTTCAGTGGATCACACTTGTGTATAATAACCTGTCTGGGGACAAACTTGTCCTAGATAGTGCCATTCTTTGCTAGTCTCCATAATTCGTTCTAGTTGTGAATAAACTGTACTAACAGGTATCATTTTTTTCCCCTGATAGTCCTGTGTTAATCAGGACTCTGCAACAGACAGCTCACTGATAAGCAGTTGAGGAGGGTAATTTTCAGGTGACGCATCAATTATGTTTTCTTCATTTTTTCCTGAGGGAGTGAAAGAAAATGCTGATTTACAGGTGAATGAAACCATAGGAATTGCCACAGCTGATAACTGCCAATGTCAGATAGGCCAGAGAGGAAAGGCCTATGGGAGGAAGAGAGGAAGAACATAGGAGGTGCTCCCTCCACTTCCCAGTTAAAGCCATAGAGCATGGGCCAATCTGGGAGGAGTAAGGTTTCTTTAGTCTTCATGGAGGCCAGTATTTCTCAGTTCATTTTCACCTGAGCTCACTTTCAGTTGTGGATATTGGTTCGCATGAGTTCTGGTGACTCAGTATATTGCTCGTTCATTCTGCTGTATGCAGAGTAGAAAATGGTGGGTATGTTTGTTCCTCATATACTTTAAATACATCATAACTCAAGATATCCTTCCTACAAGCACCGCTTTGAAACAAAGTTGTTATAGTCAGTGGGAAGATTTTTCTTATGTCTTAAATGTATTTTCGTTCTAATTTGTTTTTAAAGCAAATTGTTAGGATATATATTATTACTTTATCTGAAAGATACTTTTATGCCATATTTAATTTTTATCTAAGCTTCTTCAAACCTGAGAAATTTGCTGAAATAAAACCAAAATATTAAACAATATAGAGACAAAGGGCTCAACATTTTTCTTTCAGTTATGTCTAAAATAGTGCCTGAAACCTAAAGACTAAAAGAGGTACTAGGGGAAGGAATTTTAGTACTAGTACATACATGAGATTGAGAGCCCATGCAACTGACGTTTTGTAGAAAACAGCTTCCTCAGAACTGAACTCTTCTGCTTGGCAATATGTTGAGCACTGAGAAACACAGGAATATTTACAGACATATTCCTGTAAAATTTAATTCAGATACTTTCTGCAAGAAAAGTTTTGTTTATGTGCATGAAGTATTTTATGTGTGCATAAATTCCATGTGAGATTCTGGTCTCTTCCTTAATTTCTTTTTATGCCAGGCAAGAGGGGTGCAGTGTGTAATATAAAAGCTTATAGGCTTAGCCAGGGCCTTGTTTTTTTCCTGAATACAGCACCATGGAGATACTGTAATGAAAGTTGTTGTAACTGGACTGTAATGTATGCAAAGGCATACAAGGTATATGAAAAATGGAAAAAGCATGTAGGAAATTCAGGACAGTGCTGCTGTTCATCCAGGTAAAGAATCAGCTCATCAGTTGCCTAAATCTGCCTAAAATGTATTTTGCTTTCTCCATTCCCTTCAGCCATCCCTTGAAGGGGCTCACACCTAGGATCCTCTTCCTCCTTTTGGCTTGCCAGGTTTGTGCCTTCACTCTGTAATGACTTTCCTGAGCAAAACTACTAGAGTAGTACATTTTCTGAATAAGTTATTCTGTGGTTGGTTAGACTAGAGCACTGCTGACCACCCCTTCCATGGAGAGACCACTTTGCAGTTGCATTGGAGACCACTGCAAATCTGGATTGCTCTGCATCATTCTCCTGGCTCAGGCCACTTGCTCATGCTGCTTTAAAGCATCCATACTTTAAGAAGATAAGCTAAGGAAAAGCCACAAGTTGATATGGGTATCCACACTAGCATTTGGCTTACTTTCCAGTAGCATTTAACAAAATTAATGTGGTTAATGCAGTTAATGTGATTAAGCTGTAGCATGGGATGTGTTTTGGATGTGATAGGTGGTCATGGATGTGTTACACCAAGTACAGTGGTCAGTGTCTAGTAATGCATGAGGCTGCTGAGTACTAACACTGGGAAGAAGATGGTGCAAGACTGTGTCTGTATTAAAGCTGTGTTGATCAGAACAGAACGACAGCATATTCAAGCTATCAGAAAGTGCTCTGACAACCCATGCTGCCTTTTAGTTTTTGATTTCTCTGCACCATCATACTATACCTAGTTGAACTGGTCTGACATGAGACATAAAGAGTAGTGGATCTCCTGGAGAGTCCTCATCATCTTCTAAAGAAACTGATAGTTCACCTGGGAAGGAAAGAGTTTTTAGGTGAAAAATAGATATGGACTAAATTAGCTTAAATTAGTTTAAGTTAAAATGTCCGTACACAATGAGATGATCTTGATAATCTCTTCACTTGTAGTTAAATTAAATTTAAAATTAATTTTGCCTGTCCCCATAAGAGGACATGACTTACAGGAGGTAAATTATTTTATATCTTGCATATGAAGCCTGTTTGAAATGCTTTTTAAAATTCTTGTAGAAACTGACTTGATTCTAGTGACTGATATGCTCTTCTGACTCAGTGTTCAGGGTAGATAGCACATTAAACGTATAGTTTGAAAGTAGATAATGTAAACTAAGAGACATAAAGGCAGACATTGCGTATGGATTCAGATAACCACAAATCCATTTATATAAAAAAAATTAAAATTTTTCTTCAGAGTTTGAAGAAAACAGGAATGTTCTGGAAGGAGTTCTGGAAATATATGAAATTCATTAACAGTATAGAGAGACTGTGAAAGTATATATTGTGACTTGAGAACAGACGTATTTGGAGCTGACAGGATTCAGTCTAGCTTTTTCAAGCATAGCATTTCTACATGTGTTTAAAAAGCAACACTATAGCAATTGCTATGTAAGTTTAGAAAGCAGGATATGTAAGTCAGGTTCTGAACCAGCTTAGTTTTCACAGAGGACAGACTTTTTAGTTGGCCAGTGATAATATGCTGTATTCAGCATTCCATTTTGACAGGAGGTTTGAAATGCTGGTGCACTGTACAGAGAGCTGAGCTACTGTGAGCTCCAGCCAGGCAGGGCACACAGATCAAAGCTGACTGCTCCAGGGCTCTGCGGTAGTGCGTCACAGGGAACAGTAATGAGGCGTGGTTAGGATGCCACTTTGTATTCCTGACGTAGGTGAAACTGAAAACTGCATTTGAAAACATTATCCTAAATCCTCCTGACTTTCAGCAAGGCTCACAATGACTCATAGATGCAGTGGCCTGATCTTTGACTGCTCCCAGCTGTCTGCTTGGCTTCTCTGGCAGGAGCTGCTGCTCATGCCTCCACCTCCAGCGACAGGACTGGCGTTTTAGCTGCTTAGGAGCAGCAAAGCAAACTAGGGAAAGAGAAATAAATTCTCTGTTGGAAGCCTGCTGAGTGTGCCATCGGCACTAGCATGAGCAACTTTAATTACACTGTCATATTAAGAGAGAACCAACTTTTTATTTTAAGTAAATAAGAACAGTTACCACAAAAAGATATTAGTATCTTTGATAGGGAAAAAATAAAAGCATTTGAAGAGCAAAAAAGTTACTCAATATGAGTACTGCACACTTACTTTAAAAAAACTATATAAAATACTTGTCAGTGACATGTTTAAAGTCCAGACATGGAAAACTATGTATGAGTGGCACTTTCAAGTTAGCATTTCTGCAGGATCTTTCTGCATGATAATACTGTTATGATGATGCATTTCTGCTCAGACTTGATAATCTTTTTGCATTTGCTGAGGTAAACTGAAGGTCAAGCAAGGTGACCAGTGCCTTAGTATTTAAACATAAAGAAAGAAATATAAAAAATAAGAAACATTAATTATTACATGGGGTTTACTTTTTCTGTAGATAATGTACTGATTTATTAATACTTGGTTTAACTTGAAACAATCAAACTGGTTAACAAAATAGGAAGGTCATTCTTTTGAATTCTAAGGAACGATACTGTTTTTCACGGTGCACCATCACTCTACATGGATTTTCTTGGTTGTTGATTACTGGAATAATACACAAACTACATTTTAAGAGAAGTGAACATGTTTACTTATGTCTTTTTTAATGATTATTTAAGCTACAACTCTACCTCTGAAAACGTGTTTTGTGAGGGCAACACGAACATCTCTGCTTGCTTATGTATAAAGTGTCATCTTTTCATGAACAAGCTCTATGTTGCTACCAAGTTTGTCTGAAGACACCCCCCTGAGATTTGGTTGAGATTTTCAGTAATAATTTCTTCAACTATATTTTCAAAAGAAAACTGATTTTACCAGATAAGGAAAAAACCAAACCTCAGGGAAACACTATAGAAATACCACTCAGTCCTATTAAAAAAAAGTAGTCTCTTTTCTTTCCTTCCTTCCTTCCTTCCCCTTCTTTGCCCTCCCCAGTAATCTCCCAGTGGCTGAGATATAATGCAAAGACGTGCTATGTATCTTTACATTAAGGATGTGTATGAATATTGAGACTGTGGCTAAACAGAATGGTGGTGATTTCTTTGGGAGCCTGCCCAGTTCTTTGTCATGCTTTTTAACAAAACAAGTTATTATTGCAACCAAGTTCTTCAAATAAAATAAGACGTGCAAGGTGAACAAGTATTATTTGTCACAGGTTTTAGTTTGTTGATGGTATTTTGTTCTTGCTACCCAAGTCACAAAGCCTAGACATCCTTGAATTCCTCCAGCCCTGTCAAAATGAGATGTCTCTGCCTCTTTGAAAAGAGAGGAAGGACCGTTTTTTCCTCCTCTCCCATTACACTCTGTGATTGAAAGGGAGAAGCCCAGGAGGGGACACGCAGTCCATACTGGGGCAGTGGCAGTGGGCTGCCTTTGCCTGTGCAGGGATTCGCCTTTTCTTCTGAGGGAGCAACACCATCAGATCTGCCCCCACAACAACTTGAGAGCATCAGTTGCAGGACACATTTCTAGCTTAGTGTGTTTTCTTTGTGGCTGAATTGTAGTTGTTGTGAAAATCTTTCCATTTTGATTTTTGCCATTAGTGTTTCAAGTATTACAGTTAGTTGCATTTCATTTTTGTCTATCCGTAAAACTTGTTTGTTGGGTTTTTTTTTGGAGGGAGTAACAGAAATGCTTGTGCATTTAAGAGATATATTTAATTATATAATCTTTAAACCCAGACTGTCCTAATGCTTCAAAATGAGGTGTGTCTCACCCAGGGGTAGTTTTTTTAATATATATTGTACTTTATGATTCACAACTTAAATTAACTTTTGCTGATTTAAATTTGCTAGAGGTCTAAGGCAGATAAGAATTAGAATTACCAGGTGCCAACTACAATAAAACACAGAGGATAATCTAATGGCTGATCCTCAGATGAAGGACACTATCTTAGTTTTATGTAGTCCTCGAAGTGTAACAGCCTTGTATTAGCCTCAGTTCTGCACGTTTAAAAATAAAAAACTGATTGCAATATACATTGCAGAGAGCACGTTAAAATATTATAAAATTGCCATTTTAATTTGAAGTGATTTTGACAGATTCGAGGCTTTCTGCTGGTGATGACAAATTAAGGTCAAGCTTTTTGTTAAGGTAAACAATGACAAGAAAAATGGCAATTTCTTTTCCTCAAATCTGTAAAGCATTGTGAAGGGAGACATGAAAGGGTACCAGGACAGGCTAGATGTCCAGCTCCTCTCTATGCCTTTGACAATTTCCCCTGACACTAATGTTTAATTTTTTGTTTTCTTAAAAAAGATCCACAATCTTAATGTAAATTGCCACATGCCGTGGGAACAAACAGCTAAGCTGTTAATTTCTCTTTTTAGTCATCTTATTTTGGTACTTTATCATCAGGACTTATGCTTCAGTGGCATTTAGGATGTGACAAGGAGATTTGAGTGATGTCAAATAGCAGATTGACCCTAATAAAATGTTAAGCAGAGCTTAAATGCATATGTAGAGAAGGTTGAATAAAACAAGGGATGCAAATAATTTAGTGAAACCCCCTTCAGAATAAAAGCAGTTGCATTCATTTGGTCTGCCTCAAAATAGTCTGACAAATATGATGATTTTTTACTTTCATTGCTAAATCAGAGTTTTTAATGAGACATTATTAAGCATCTGTTTCTCCAATATTTAAGTAAAACTGCTTACAAAATAATTTAACTTACCTTGAGTTTTCATACCTAAATATTGTTACAGAGAAACAAGAATAAAAATCCTAAATTTCACCTGTATTACAAATAATGATTTTTTTTAAACACCATGACAGTTTTAACCTTTTATCTATACATTTACATCTGAACTGTAAAAACCTGCTTCCAAAGTACTGCAAGTGAATGGCAAAGGGAAAGAAAACAGCTCTTTTTACTTCAGCGTTTCAACCCAGTGCACGAGCCTGGACATGAGCGAGTACTCACAGAAGCTGCAATACAGGCAGTTAGCATAATTTTGCTGGAATTATGCTGTATTTACAGACTTCGACACTGGTGGGTGCTAACATTTTATTCCCCTGTGCGAGGAGTGCATCCAGTCACTTCTAACAGCGCTGCTGGGGCTGCGCAGCCTCAGCTCCAGCGCCAGTGAAGTCGGGCTTTGGTTTTGTTCCCTTTGGTTTTTAAGCAAAGAGAGAAAAATAGAAGCAAAAACAGGTTTTTTACCTTGCGCGCTGTCTGTTGTGGGGCTTGTGTTCAGCTGCGTCTCAGTCGCAGAACACCTGCCGTTCTCTTCTGCTGCTAATTGTGTGACAGGCTCATATCGCAATATGGCATCCAGATCATGGAAAAACTTCATGGTTTTAGTGACATCCCCAGAGTTGTGGGCATATTTAACCGTTCTGTATTCGTACTTCAGGTTTTTGTACTTTGCACGGCACTGTTTCCAGTCCCTGCACACTCCCAACTCCTGTAACCTTTTAGCAATGTAGATAAATATTCCTTTATTCCTCAGGGTGCCGTGCAGTTGCTTTCTGATATTTTTTTCTGACCAGACGCTTAACAAGGCTTTAACCTCCTCCTCAGTCCAATGCTTCCCGGCTCCACTCTCCATGTTGAAAGTGACCTGGAAATGATTCACTATTTCTAGCCAAGATTTTGTTTCCTAGGAAACCAGACGGCTGGTTGTCAGTAAGCTCCTCCGAGATGAAAGGATCTGGTTTTACTGGCTCAAGCTGCCAGAGGGGAGTAACTTGAGACACTGCCAAATAAGCAAGCTCGGGGCTGGAGCCCGGCGAGGGAAGAGGCTCCGGTGATGGGGAGGGGAGACCTCAGCTCTGCCGGGCCGGGGCTGCTTTAACCCTTCTTGGGGACAAGGGCGTCAGTGTGGGCACCGGGGTGTGAGGAGAGAGGCAAAAAAAAGAGCAGTACTCTTTCGTTCCTTAAAAAAAAAAAAAAAAACCAAACAAAAACAACAAATGAAAACAAAGCAACATGACATCCAGCCACCCCCACACACACTCTTCTGGCCTGCCCTTTGCCTGGTGTGTGCAGAGCATCTCCTGCTCCCGTGGGGGCACACCCGCGGTGCTGAGCCTTCCCCCAAACAAGTGGCACGTCAGGATCACCCTGCCTTACATCTTCACACCTCCATGCACTATTTGCTTTTGAATTGATGGCCATATATACACGGTTTTTAACTTATATTAGTGGTGTTTTAATAAAAACCGGTATACTTAAAAGTATGGCTGAACTAGTAAAGTGATGCAAGGTTTGTGGTAATGACACTTGAGCTCCCATGTCTTTTGTTAGTGGGACATGTAATGTGTAACTCAGCACCTTGACCAGGGCTTTCCTTGGGGTGTCTGCTTCCCTCTTCCTCCCTATTGATATCGTTAATATTTAAAGGGACCATGACAGTATTAAAATTGCCTGTAATATTAACATTGTGACTACAAGTTGCTGAATGCAGTGTATCAACCCTTAAGTTGACAAAGACAACCAGTCTTTGTGTTTACAGATAGGACATCTTCCCGAGTTAAAGTAAACGGCTTTAAGAATGTCCTCATCTCTGATTTTTTTCTTTGAAGATCTGTGTCACTAACAGGGTAGATTTGTTCATATATGTGTGAATTCTGGTTTGTTTTGCTTTCTCTAAGCAAATGTTCTTTAAAATGTTTGCTTTACATACAACTGGGACTAGTAACAAATAAAGGGATTTTAGGAACTGGAGAAAATTGGTAATGAGCATGGTCAGTTGTAGATTAGCATCCATCCATTCTGTAGATTTTTGTGGCCAATTTTATAGTTACTTATAGTAAATAATTCCAGTGACTTCAATTGCATTAAACTAAAACAGGATCTTGGGATAATATTCTAAAAATATTTCAAGTCTCTCCTTTTTTAAGCAAAACATCTTTCCTTTTCAGACATTATTATATATGAGAGTGGATGGGAGCTCAGTAGTCCACCAAAGTTCTGATGAGTATTACAGACACAGCAGGTACACAGCAGGAGTTTTATTAGAGGTAACACTCTACCTTATTCAGGAAGCCTTTTAAAGGGAGATGGAGCAGCCTGAACTGTTACCCACAAAAAAAATCCAGCCTGCAAAGCTAAACCTTTTCAATGGATAAGGACTGAATTCCAAATCATGGGCAGTTGCACAGAGTTCTGCCTGGCTTTGGCAGGACACCTGAAGTGCACCCAGGGGACCCAGCATGGAGAAGGGCTGGTGAGGACAGGCAGTAAAATGGGGAAAACTCCCTTATTTCAGCTGATTAAGCTCTTCTGCTCAAGAAAGCACAACTGCCAGCCTGAGGCTGATGTGCTATAAGAGAAGTATTTCCATTTGCAGTGACGCTTGTACATGAGACTTGTTTTACTTGAGAAGTGGAGATGCCCAACATTAAATTTATGCAGTCTAATGCTTTTATCAGAGGGTCTGTGTAGCTTTTCCAGGTGTAAAAGCTAGCTTGTCTGCTGAAGTGCAAAAATGCAAAAGCTTCTGCATAGGTGATCAGTGGAAAAGATAATCCATTCCCATAGGCAAAACCATTAGTTTTTAATAACATATCCCAACCCAAAGCAGAAATACAATAGCACTATAGAGCCTACTACTATCGCCTAGACCACCATCCCTTTGAAAATGGCTTTTCAGATTAAGCATCTGTTTTTATTTTATGCCCTCACTGAAATAGGACTGCAGCCTGTGCCAGTGCTTATTAGTGGAAAGATTCCCACTGAATTCAGTGGGCTTAGGCAGAAACCTTATGTGACTGTTTTGAAACAAAGCATAACACGGGCAAGAAATCAGTTGCAATTACACATCTGCAAAATAGAGCAACAAATAAGCCTACATTAAAATTTCATGACAAAACACCAATCTATTGTATGTTAAAGTATTTCATATTTTTAGCATTTCAGTGCTTTATGTTAATTTTATTTTGTTCTCAGGGGCCAGGAGAGTGCTGGAATTGTGACAAGTGATGGAGAGTCATCCCAGGCATTCAAAGTGCACAAGGTAAAATCCAAATGAATGTTTTGTACATTCTTAATGGAGATGCGTGAAAGTTTGTTTCTGCTAAGAAACAGTATAATTAAAGAAAAAGTAACATGTTTTGATGGATTGTTTTGGTTTTGTCATTGAGAGTATCTAATTTTGTTACTTGTGTAATTTCTGTCTTGAGAGTATGCTTAAAACAAACATGCCACCATTGTCCTGCTGGGTGTATCTGCGCATACAGTGGCAGACACACAGAAGTTATCCAGATCATGCTATTGATGTCACAAAAACTACTTACCAAAGTCACCCTGCATCTCAGGTGTTAACTCTGCAGATTTAGAAGAGCATTGAAGCAACTTGATCTCAAGAGAAAAGAAATGCAGCTAAAGGTTATGCACAAGGAAATGGATGACTAAATGTTATGTTAGCAAGACTCAAGAAGTGGCAACTACTTTACCCATAGGTAAAAATAAACAGAATATAAGACTTAATGGAGGCCTGAGAAGGTCACACAATCTTCCTCAAGCTGAGGGAATCCCAGGGGATCCCAAGACACAAAATGACCACAGCCTCTAAAGTATTATGTCAAGAGAATACCTGTATGCTCTGGGGGATACTTCTGTTCATTCCGTATAAAATAGTGATCAGGAAAAAAAAAAACCACCAGCCTATTCCATCCTGGAAAAGGAGAGGATTGGAAATAAAAATACATCAGCAAAAAAACCATGGGGTAATTAAATAAAAATACATCAGCAAAAAAACCATGGGGCAATTCTTGTTGTATGTCCTCTGACCACAATCAGAAAGCATTCAGAGTTTTCAGAGGAAGATTAATTAAGCTGTTCAAATCAGTCCAAGACTAAGAACCACTCTGCTGCAGCAGCATATGTATCTATGCATGACTGCTCAATGCCTCATACAAAACCTTTTCTCTCAAGCATCATGTTTGTCCCCTCTTCAGGCACTTCCCCCCTCCTATGTGTTATTTACAGCCTGATTCACACATACACACACGCACATGCGCGCGCGCTTTTAAATGCACCTTCTCTCAACTTTAGCAGTGTGTTATCTGTTCTTCATTCCTGCTCCTGCTTGAGTTTCAGTTTTCCTTAAGGTTTACAGGAATTTCAGTTTCCTGTAAAGCAGGCTGCTCTAGAAATCCCAATAAGTGAAAAAGTGCTTCTCAGAATGAACTTCTACCAGGTGATATAATAATTTGCAGTATCTCCATGTTACTGAGCTACAATACTTAGCTGTCATGCTAAGAATTTAATTGACTATCTCATCATATCAGCTTTGATATTTTAAGAGTTGCAGAGCATGTGATAGTTTCTTTTATCCTTGAAATGTATTTCTCAACTACAACACTTTTAAAAATTGTTATAACCACAGTGTATTAAAGAGCCTGTGTAGTCCAGTTTATATGACCTGGTTAATCCTGGAAGTGGTGCTAACATAACAAACATTTGTGTCTCTTACACTGGTGAAAGCATATTTAGGACTCTGACTTGTAAACTAAAACTAGTGCATAAAAATATCAGCAGTTAAGATGCTACTGTATGTGTTTGTTCTCCAAACCCACTTGACTGTTCTTTGTAGCAAACAGAATGCAAAAAGCTTCTCACTGCATCAATTTACTCACCTTTGTCAACGGTTTAAGGCAATACCTGTATTAGAGTATGAACTGGACCATCTAAGGTATAGATACGTGTTCCCTTCTGATTGTGGTCAGCCTTTGACTGTGGATTGATAGCCCATGACAAAGGCTATTAATCCTTTGTTTTAAAATCTCCCAGAAAGACTCATACAGATTTGTCTGTTGAAGCCTTTCAGCTAAACTCATACAACAAAACAATATTGCCATAGATGTATTGGCTCAGGGAAAAACATAAATCTTTTGTATAAATATAGTGATACCAGTAAGAGAAAGACTGACTGTTTCACACTTGGACTTGCAGAATAATATATTAAAGTAGCAACTCATCAAAACATTATTGTGTTCTGGCATGTATAAGGGCTTGTATAATACAGATGTAAGATTGTCTTCATTGGTATTTTTTTATACTAGTGTAATTCACATTTGCTATCCCACACCAGTGCAATCTATATCAGAGGAGTATTTCAAACTGCAATTAAAAGATTATGTACTTGTGTAACCAAATTGTGTAAGTTACTGCAATACTTAACTTTGCCACATCCATTAACCTGTAAACTGGCAGATCTGTCAGGCTAAAGTTGGCCTAAATAAAATAAGAGTGCATGATTGCATTTCTGTACATATATGAGCACACAGCTTTAGACCACCTTTATGTCACCTGTGAGACCACAGATGATAATTGATTTGGGATAAAGTTTGCTGGCAATTAAAGCAAACCCATACAAGATTGAGGCAGTAACTTTTTAACATGATAATAAATATCCTAAAACAACATACACAACCATGGCCTCTTGGTATTCTGACTCTACAGCAGTTACAGCAGAAAATACCCTAAAGTTGAGCCTTCGTTTTGGTTGAGCTCTGCAAACAGCTCAGCCAAATTCCTTTCTTTCTGTTCCATCTCACTCTCTTGTTGTTGCATCTGCAGCACAGGTTATGAGCCGTTCGGAGCTTCAGATCTCTCCTGTGTATCTTTGAAGGTCCTAGAGGAGTGTTACCTGTCATGTATACAACAATTACCATGCCTGATAGTCAAACCAGGCATAGAAGGATGTAAATATTTTCCACAGGCAGTGGCAGAAGCAGGAGTTTATAGGAGGGCCTGGAATCCAGACTTAATTTGTACTCTCGGTGCAGCTTTTCAGACTATTTGTGCAGCTAAATTGTCTCCATGCAGTGCTCACTTTTGGCTTGTTGCCAAAAGAAGCTCCTGTCCTGATGTCTGACTAAAAGGTTTTGATGTATTTCTGCTTTAGATATACTTGGCTATATAAAAATTGAAAGTAAACAATAAAACCTCTTGGAAAAAGCCTTTACTTCTACCATTGTCAAGAATGACACTGGAATCTAATAAACATTACCATGAACCTGCTTTAAAAGTGAATCCAATATACCACTAAATTGTAAAAGATATTCTCTACCTAGAACTTCCTTCATGCAACTTTTTTCCTTCCTTTCCTATCTTCTGGCAGTCTTTTTTCTGGTGTTTTTAAGCAACACAACAGTTTGGTAGTGTTTTTCAGAAGATGTATTTTTAGTCAGGGAATAGTCTGTACCAGGAAAATCCTCAGCACAAAAATGTACATTGCTTTATTTAAAAACAGGATTAATGGGATCTGATATACCACTGTGACACCTACTCAGTTTCTTTCTTTCCCATGTCTTCCAGGTTATTTGCCTTTCTCTTAAAGTTCCATTAATACTGCACCAAAACCAAACAGAAGAAGAAATGAGAAAGTTACCAGGAAAATAAAACCAAACAGAACCTTTTTTTCTTTTTCTCCCAAAGGGAATGGGTCTTATAAATCATGTCTTCAATGCAGACAGCCTGAAAAAGCTGTACCCTTCAAACCTTGGTATTGGGCACACAAGGTACTCCACCTCAGGAATTTCTGAGCTGCAGAACTGCCAGCCTTTTGTCGTAGAGACTCTTCATGGGAAGATTGCTGTGGCACACAATGGGGAGCTAACAAATGCTGCACTGCTCAGGAGGAAGGTTAGTACCTCCTTTGGGAGGTTCTGGCATCATTTCTTTCTGAGTGTGAGGCATCAGTGAGCAATAAGGTTGCTGTGACTTTTCCTTCATATCAAACTGTTTGGGGTAAGGACGGAGTATCCTAATCAAAATAGATCATTTTGGGGGGAAAAAATCCTGTGTGGCAGATTCTGCCTTGATATCTCTTTCTGGATCTGCTATAGGCAATTTCATATATTTGTATTTTACCTCTCTTCCCAGAGCATCCACAAAGCTAATTAAATGCCCCAAACATGAATTTGTGCCCTGAGTATTGGTGGCATTAGTTTTGGTTGCATGTGCAGCAAAGGAATGAGATGAAAAGGGAAAAATTTAGTGTAAGTGATTGTACTACCTAGTTTTACATAGTTGGTTTGTTGGAAGAAACTTACCATTATTATGACAAGATCAATTCAAGCACTGATACTTTTTAAAATATTTGTTCATCGCACAAAGGTGCTGTTGGATTAAAATCTGAGCAGTGTTATGTGAGATGTTTTTATTGATGCTGGTAACACTTTTGGTTTGTGTCTTAAAAGCTTATGCGGCATGGTGTAGGACTGTCGACCAGTTCTGACAGTGAACTGATCACCCAGCTGCTGGCTTTCACACCTCCTCTAGAAAATGACGACACAGCCGACTGGGTAGCAAGGTGAGGGGAATGGGTTTCAGAATCAAGAACAGCAATTTGATCTCGGCATGATATGCAGCTGTAAATGCACACAGCTGTTCACATGACACAAGGTTATATTCACCTATGTCTCATTCCAGAATAAAAAACTTAATGAAGGAAACTCCAACTTCATATTCATTGCTAATTATGCATAAAGACATAATCTATGCAGTACGTGATCCATATGGGAATCGCCCGCTCTGCATTGGTCGCCTTATTCCAGTAGGGGACATGAATGGAAAAGGTAAACCACATATATCCCTATGCATATACATAGTTTGTGTATGAAATCATTGATATAAGTAATTAAAGCTATACTTACTGAGGTGTAGGTAGGAATATGTGATGCAAAAGTCAGTTTTGAGAAATCAAAAAATTGGCAAGGAAAAAATAATTTGTAGAAAGTTTGCAAAATTCTGTTCCCAGATAAAGGCAATCCTAGTGGCCTGGTGACTGCCACAGTTAGGCAGCCTGGCTGTAATACAATATTTGTGAAAATCTAATTAAGGTCTCATCGCTTAAACGGGAAAGCAGGGATGAACAGCAGGGTTGAGGTTGGAAAGGGGCTCTGAAGGTCATTGGGCCAAATCCCCTGCTCAGACAGGTCCACCTAAAGCCAGTTGCTCAGGATGATATCCAGTCCAAAAACAAGCCTGGTTTCTTCCTTTCTCCTATAGTAAGGTGGGCAAAAAGTGCCAAATTGCTCGCAGTGTATTTCTGAATTCCAGTCACCCAGCCACATGTAATACAGTAGTGCAACACTATACAATCAGTTTATGGGAAAAATTCCTTGTGTTCCTGTTTAGCTTGCAAATCGACATTTTCTCTTAAATGAGATTAAAATATCTTAATTTGTTTAAAACTAAAATAATTCAATGACTAAGTAGTAAATGCTTCCAGATCTTCACAAAACTGGGTAATTTTAACCACAAGAAAAATTACTAAGATTTTTTAAAGCATACAGACGTTCCTACCCTACGTAGCACAATTTGATCTTTCCTGTGGTTGCCTCTCAAAACTCTCCTTATTGGAATTCAGTCCAGGATCCATTGTGTTCAAAAGCATCTATCTGTCAATGCATAGGAAAAGTAAAGAGTTTCTTGTGTGAACAAAAGTAAGTATGTATATCTAAATTTACTGAACTAGAATTGGAAAAGTTTGAAATACCTGAACTGTCTCTCTTCATGAACTGTGAATAAGATGCTGTTACTTCCACTTCTGCCTAGAACAGGTTTAGGATGTTTATGTTGTGGATTTGCTTGGGATTTTTTAAAAATAATATTACAGAAACGGTGGAGTGCTTTACCTTTTAGTTAAAAATTACAGTGGCCTTTAATTGCATACTTGGCAACCTAAACCATAGCAAGCCAGATCTGCAGCAGAAATGCAGTTGTGGGTGGTCATAGTTGCAAGAACTGGGGACTCTAACTGAAATCTTTCATTTCAGGAAAGGATAACACTGAAACAGAAGGATGGGTTGTCTCCTCTGAATCCTGTAGCTTTCTGTCTATAGGTGCAGAGTAAGTGCCCTGATTCTCACTTTATCTGAAAGGTCTCCTCAGGTAGTGATTAAACATTAAATATCAAATTGCCAAATATCATAATTTATAACAACATGAAAGACATCAAGGATTAGTTTGTTGTGGAGGATTTTTTTTTGCCAGTCCTGGTTTTTAGCAGTTTATTTTCTCAAACAGATGATTGTAAAAGAAGAATTATATAAGATAAAAGCAAATTGTCATGTTAGGATGTTCAAAAGCATTTTTTCCTGTCAGTTGACTCTTATTTGTACTTCAAAACTATCATCCACATTCAGGACATTTCTAACTGCTATGTATTTCTTTTTCAAGGTACTATCGTGAGGTCCTTCCTGGAGAGATTGTGAAAATATCCAGACATGATGTCCAGACACTGGATGTTGTACGAAGACCTGAAGGAGATCCATCAGCATTCTGCATCTTTGAATATGTTTATTTTGCAAGACCAGACAGTATATTTGAAGGTATGAAAATATAACGTACAGAGCTCCTGCCTAAATAGTGGGAGATGTTACCCTGGAGCACATGTAGAAATTATCTGCGATCATAGTAGAGTACCACTGAGTGTAAGCTTGCTGAGCACAGCTGGGATAGAATGGGTTGGCAAAACTTTTGAGATAAAACTCATCAGGAGGAGCAAACTGGAGTTTAATTCTCTGTGTAGTGATACAAACGTGAAATGCTGGAATAGGACAGTATAGAAGGAAATAAAAATGACCTTATGTAAGTGATTGCTTATGAGTTCTGGAGCTTTTCTAACTTCTGTGCCTGCAACTTGCCACAGAAATTTGTACAGCAAACCGAGAGGAAATCTGAATTATGCATACCAAGAAAAACACTTCTTGTTCTTAGGTCAGATGGTGTATTCAGTCCGGAGAAGATGTGGACAGCAGCTTGCTATTGAAGCACCCGTGGAAGCAGACCTGGTCAGCACTGTTCCAGAGTCTGCAACCCCAGCAGCTCTTGGTTATGCTCAGAAGGTATATGTTACTTTTTTTTCCCCCCAAGCATGTTTACACATATCTCTTTTTGTAATGGACTATGATGATATGGGCTGCTAGAGTTGTGTATTGATAAAGCTTTATATCTTCTATATGCGGGGTACTCCTATTGAGTCATCTGCCTTATTTTTTCTGTCATTATTCCTTTATGTTAAGGTATTTAAACTTTTTTTGGTTACTGTGAAGTCATACTAAATCTAAGATTACTTAAAAAAAATAGTAACTGAGAGTAACAAGTCTTATATATTAATTCTGTTTAACTGTCTCCTGTTTGCAGTGTGGACTACCATATGTTGAAGTACTCTGTAAAAATCGATATGTAGGGAGAACGTTTATCCAGCCAAATATGAGGTTACGGCAGCTTGGTGTTGCGAAGAAGTTTGGTGTTCTGTCTGATAATTTTAAAGGAAAACGAGTTGTTATCATTGATGATTCAATTGTGAGGGGCAATACCATTTCACCCATAATAAAACTACTGAGAGAATCAGGAGCAAAAGAGGTAAGGTAATTTTAAGTCAGTACAATAGAGATGTAAATAGAAGTTGATGGGAGGGTAAAGCACAGGAGTTTGTCTTAATTTGTACTATACTTTGCTTCCTTATTTGAAAGGGCAAGTGTGGAGAAAAACAATGGCTAGTGCATGTTTATTGTGAAGATAGGTTAAGAAGGTTCTTTTGTATGACTGTGACTTTTGGGAGATTAAGATGGAGAGGAACAGGTCTCCACTTAAAAAGCACTATCTGGCAAATAACAAGAGAATGGAAAAGAAATAATTTAAGATCAGAAAACAAGTATTCCTGATGTGTAACTTGTGGACCTGCATAAAACACAACCACATACTGCTGTAAATATCACATGCCTTAAGTTACCAGAGCACCATTTTTTAAATTGGCAAAGATTTTTTAAGCAAAACAGTGTACAAGTCAGACACTGGAGCAAAATGCTACATAAAATGGTTGACTTTGTAAACTGAAACTCATACATCAAAGACTGAACACCACAGAAGAAAAGCACAATCAGGATGGAACCTTTTAAGAACATTAGGAAATACTGTAAAAAGTTCTAAAGCTGTCTTTCTTTCTCCACCTGTCTTGGCATTTGAAAAAACTTTATCTTCCTTTTAACCCTTTGATGATTTCTGTACAGTGCCGTGTTCTGTTCTTATCATTTGCAGAACTGGGACTTTGCTATTGTGTTATAATCTGCTGACTGTCAATTTATAGTAGTCTGTTTTGAAATTATATTTTTATTCAGGTGCATATCCGTGTGGCTTCACCTCCCATAAGATTTCCTTGTTACATGGGAATAAACATTCCAACTAAAGAAGAACTCATTGCCAACAGACCTGAATTCCATGATCTTGCAAACTATATAGGTAAATGTTACTTGGGTTTTTGGTTTTTTTGTTTGTTTTTTTTTTTGTGAGAGAGATTTCAGCTATAGGTATTTTATAGTCTACTTTAAAATAAAGCCCAACACAGCAAGGCAATTGTAGCAAAAGTTACTAAAAAACTGCAAGGTTGATAAGCTAGGTCTCTGCATTGTGAGTGCTCTGCAGATCAAACCAATTGAGCTACATACTTTTTTTAAACAGAGTTAGGGAGCTGTATTTCTCAAAACAATAGAAAGTATTAAAATAATTGCATAAGTTACAAATAAAGTATGACAATAAAGCTCTCCAATACTTACAGCTCCTTCCAGGAACTTTCACAATAAGGAGCTATCAGGAAGAAAATAAGTCCGATGATGAAAAGCAGATGTAGTTTCACTTTTATGAGACATTCACAAAAATATATTCAGAATTTTTAAACACGCACTGATTTTTGTACAAATTTAAATTTATATAATAAATTTAAACTGCATTATATATTTCACTTTGAAAGAAATGATATTTGAAACCAAGCAAAGAATGTCAAAAAACTTCTCCAATTTTGAGTCATGTTTGTAGCAGAACAAAAGAAGACTCAACAGTTTATGTTCCACTGTTCTGATTTCTTGTGTTAAATACTTACTCTCACTGTCTAATACCACAAAATTATTGTGAAAGCATGCTGAAATATTTCAAGTTTGTAGGATCTTATTTTTAAGTGTTATTCACTACATAGTGTCTGCAAATGATAGAAAACTAATGATCTATCAAACTTTCCTACTGCTAGAAAATTTGCATGAACTGCATAATGAATTTTTTTGAACATGATGGTCTTCCCCCCCTCCAAGTCCCAGTGAGGTTTTGTAGTCTTTGGTGCTCAGATTTGGGAAGCAGCAGCCACACACACATCTGCTTCCAGACCTGAGCTAGGGTAGCTCTGGGACACTACAGGGAGTTTAAGGAGTCTTAATACTGGACTTTGCTTCTGTTTCTGCAGCATGTGTGATGTATTTGTTCCCAACTCAGAACCTTCTGTCTAGATTTTAGTGAGTTTGCTCCCTGCACAAAGCACTTGAGAAGGGCAAGGCATATTACGATAATTTTTCAGTCATTCTCTTTAGGTAAGGTGATCCACCTGGCATCATAATCCATACGATAATGCAGCTGCATTTCCAAAGAGCATTGCATTTGGTACAATAATGCAGTTTTAACCAATGAATTCTTTATTTCCTCTAGGAGCAGACAGTGTTGTCTATCTTTCTGTGGAAGGGCTGGTATCATCTGTGCAAGAAAGCATCAAAGAACGACAAGAGAATAGCCCTAAAAGCCAGAAGTCATTTATTGGAAAGATTGGTCATTGCACAGCATGTCTTACTGGAGAGTATCCTGTAGAGCTAGAATGGTGAATTTTTAGTGGATGGACATAATTTCATCTGTTGTTGAATGTACCTTTTTCAGTGATGCCTTCTTGTTAAATAGCCTCCTTGCATTTAGGTATTACATAAACCTTATTACAGCTAACTAATTACTGTTACTAAAACACATGTTTAAGTAAAGATTTACAGAAAGTCTTAATGTGCTGATGAAAACAATGTAAGCAGAGTAAAATACAAAATCATGTAGTTTTGATGCACAGTTGTGCCTTCCATTTTCTCACAAAATGCTATAAAAACCAAAGTATTTTTAATTATGTAGCAGTCCCAGAGTTTGTTGCCTCAGTCTTGCCCCGAAAGATATCCCTGTTAGACTTGTTCACAAATCATGAATTTTGTGGTGTAATTTCAAATTATCTTAATGCAAAGGCATCTGAAGTTTGCTTTTCTCCTTAGGAAAAATACCAGATTCTGAAGAATCAAACTGCTTCCTCAGCAGTTCTTGCTTAGGCTTTTTAAGAATGGAAGTACCTAACTTTTGCATATATACCTAAACAGCCTTTGTAACAGATTCTATGCACATAATGTCTAACATATAATTTTAAAAAATGAAGACTCAGGGAAATGCTCAGCCAAAAGCTCTCTAGTTTTGTAATTCTAAAATTCTTTTTTAGAAGTCCAGTGTAATTATATTATCTTTGTGTGCTTCTATCAGTTGGCAATACAACGTGGAAGGAGAAAAAAAAATACTTGGTACTGCCTTTCTGTTTTACATCTTGTGTTCTCCAGGATAAGTCCTGACAATTTCCTAAGTCTGAGCTAATGCTCAGTGTGCTTTTCATGTGTCAACGCCCAAAGCAAACTAAAAAAAATAAACGTAACAGTAAAAATTAATTTTAACAGTAAAAACGAGATATATCAAACAAAGACTGAGTTGTTGTAGGAGTAGTCCTATTTTACTACATTAGTGCTGTTAGAATAAATGTAATGTTTGAAAAAAACAAGTGCTGTGAAGAACCAGTAGCTGTTACATGCATTGTATTCAGTTGATCACAATTACACAGTTACTTGTATACAGGAAGATCACTTGGATAATGAACCACTAGCTGAAAATGGAAAAGCACCTTTTGAAAACTATTGCAAATTTACGCACAATTGTAAAAATATTTTGTATACCTCATTTTTTTCACTGAATACCAGCAACTTAATTTTAGATTTTCTATTTAATATTGTGTATTTTGGCCTTATAATTGTTTGTGACGCTGTTAAAAAAAATAAACAGAAAAGTTTAAGAACTTTTTCCTTCCCCATCATATTCCATATAGTTGAGAATTCCATTACTGGTGATTAAATTCAAAAGGGAGTTTTCTTAGGTGGGATTTGTAGCAATTGTGCCTGATAGACAATCACAACACAAAAGTGCTACTTAGAAAAAGAATGTAAATACATTTAATGGAGTCAAAACTGTGTCTTGTGCAGTGGAATCAGAACCTACTTGCAGTCAAGCCCATGGGAGAACTCAGATTTGATGAGCACTGGGCTTTTACTGTGCATTCTTTACCAGAGCCCAGGTCTGCATATTGGGGGGGGGGGGATGTATGAGGATCTCTTCTAATTAGCAAGTTTGGTTTTTTAACAGAAGCATAACAGTTCATCTGGACAGCAAACTGAACAAAACCAGAACGTTTTGGACACTGACCACCCCCTCTTCCAGGGTAACCAGGAAGGAGTATGAGAAAACAGAAAACCTGTAAGCAACATTTTTCACTGTTCTTCTTTCCTGCCCCCAAAAAAAGAAGAAATATTTTTTAAAAGAAGAGATAAGTTGAGCCCTTAGGTTATAAATACATGTGAGGAGCCCTTTCTACTTGAGATAAACACTTAGGTGCACAGTTTAAGAAGGCTGCAAGCAGAAGTCGGTCTGTCTGAAATTGTCCATAGGACAGACTGTAAATGAAACTTGTTCAAATACTCTTTCAACATGCTTTCAACAAAACGATTACTTTTTAAGTCCAGTAATAATTTCTTCAATGTGATTTGAGCATTGGGTGGCATAATTCTGATTTTAAAAAAAAATGAGTCCTATTGTCTTTTCCCCCCTCCATGTTAGACATGTGAAGTTCTGTCTGCTACTGTGAGCACTGTAATTTTTAGATGCACTACATGCCAAATCTTTACTACATATTTTTCAAAACCTTAAGTTAAAGGGGAGATAAGTCTCAAGTGTCACACACATACCAGTGAGTATGCTGAAGGAGAAAACTCTGGCTTTAGGTGTTGCTATTTGTATTAATGTTTTACTGTGAAACCGTTTCTGCTGTATTACCAATGTGCAACTATGCCAAACTTTCACGTACAGAATGTGACAAAACAGTGGATAGCTGATGTTTAACTTCTCCCCTGCCTAACATTAAAAATGGTTGTGAACTGGTCTTCTCGTTCTCTCTCCCTTTGCGGGGATCGCTGGCAGCACGCACAGAGGCTTCTTTAATAAAGTCACCTTGAAAGCACCTCGGAGCCGGAGCAAATCATTTACCGTGAGGGTGCTGAGGCACTGGAAGAGGTTGCCCGGAGTTGTGGATTCCCCGTCCCTGAAGGTGTTCAAGGCCAGGCTGGATAGAGCTGTGGTCTGTGAGAGGTGTTGCTGCTCATGGCAGGGGTTGGAACTAGATGATGATAAAGGTCCCTTCCAACCCTTAACATACTACGATTCAGTGATGTCAAGCCACTACCAGTACCCCCTCCCAGCACGGCTCCCGCTCCCGTCACCCTCGCTCCTTAGTGGCGGCCCTAAATCGCATCCGGTGGGCAAAGTCTGGCCCCGACCGCCCTCGTTGGCTCCGCGGGAAGCCGAGCGGGGCAGCCCGGCTCCCACCCGGACATGACATCCCCGGCCCGCCCACGGCGTACCACCGGCAGGGAGGCCCGTACCACCTCCTGGGGCGGGGGAGGGGTACGGACACACGCCGACGGAGACGGTGAGCGTGGCGGCGAAACCTTGCCCTTCGCCAAAGCCACCTGTGATTGTTTTAGGCCGTGTTCCATGTCCGCCGGGGAACTGGGGACAGCGGGGCAGGCTCTGGTGCGCCCGCTGTTCCTCCCTCCCTCTTTCCGTCTCCCCCTCGGGAAGCGACGATACCACCCAACGCGGGACTCTGGCGGAGCGGACGCTACTTGCAGATGCCCAAAGGGCGCGACGGATGTTGGCCAATGAGAGCGCGGCCTTGCCGGGGTCCAGCCAATCGGAGGCGCGGCCGCGGCTGGGGGCGGGGCCGAGAGGCGCCGGAAGTGTCGCAGGTGGGAGCCCGCGGAGCTCCGGGAGCCGCCTGGCCGCGCTCATCCCGAGTGGAAACGGGGAAACCTGGAAGGGGCGAGCGGGGGCACAGCCAAGAGCGGTCGGTCAGCCGTGCGGGCGTGGCGGGCGGGCTCGGGGGGAGAGAAAGACACTAGCACGAGCAGTGCAAAATGCAGAGCCTGGGCAGTCCACGCGTCGAGGTTTCTGTTTGCAGAGGAAGGATTCGTGTTTTGCTGTTCCACTGAAAGAGTTATTAATTAATTAAGGCTTGCTAATGGAGATATTAATTCAGTGGTGCCGTGCTTTAAAAATAAAGGTGTAACGGTGAGGAACAAACTACCTCTGTACAATGAAGCCTTAGTGCATTGCTGTATCCTGGGCTTTAGGATAAGACGGCAAATGAGTCAAGAATTCAGCTTTAAAACATTGCAGCTAAGGTGCAATAGAGCTGTGTGTTCTCTGCCATGGATCTTTTTTTCCCTTCTTGGTAGTGTTTTGTATGCGTTTATAATTTGGCTAAAGTATTAAAAGTAAGGAGGTGACAGTACATTTTGGTCTGTTATTCTTTCAGGGGGACTGGAGCTGCGCAGCCAGGATGACGCTTCAGGAGCTGGTGGCTCGGGCAACCAGCCTGCACTCGGATAGAGCAGCAGTTTGCTTTGATGAATGCACTGGGAAACCTCCAGCTTTCTACACCTACGCCACGGTGGTTGAGCTGGCCAGGGAACTAACAGCTTTCCTTCAAAAGTACTGTGACCAACAAGGCAAATGTGAAATAGGCCTTTACTGCTATCCAGGAATAAACCTGCCATCTTGGATCTTAGGGTAATGGTTTGAGCGTTTGCAATGTGTGTTAGGTTTTTAAGGGTCATCTATATGAAAGCAAATGTTACAGTTTGTTTAGATTTTTAGTAACAGCAAAAATGCAGTAATGCCACAGTAGTGCAATTAAGGGGTGCTGCAGCGTTGGATTCTTTAAAGAAAAAGATGGCACTATTACAATCTTTTGAAAAGCCACTGCTGAAAAAATTTTTGAATCTTAAGTTCTAAAGGTCTGAACAGCCTGTAACTGCATCCTTTTTTAAAAAGCAATTTAGCATATTTATAGAAATACCAAAAAATTGATGACTGGCACTTTTGTTCTACTTGTTTAAAAAATTGAGGTGATCTGACAAATATCTATTAAAAAAAGGACTATGCAGGTTTTTTAATGTATTGTATTGCTGGCAAAAAAGATGCTCTGAAAACAAAGTCCATCTTTTAAGCTAAATGAATATATGTTTAATGTTCTATTACAAATATTGCAGAAAGAATTGCAATGCAACACTAAAATGATACTGATTAATTAATGGCTAGGAAGTTGAAATGTTTGTGGTCTAAATACTCGTGTTAATCCAGCATTTTAAAAATCCTGCTTCTGCTGATTAATTCTAATGTTTGTATCTTTTATAGACATATCTTTTGTATCTCTAGCATTTATGATGTATTAGAGAATCACAGGATCACAAATATATTTTCTTCAGCTGATGTTTACAGCAGCAGTTGTGCTTCCTGGGGGAATGGTCTGTGTCAGTATTTTTTCTGTTGTCACACTGCATGTAAAATACAAAATAGCACAAGAAGAGATACCACAGTGGAATATAAAGATTTCAGTGGAGTGAGTGAGCTCTGTAATCATAAATCTCCCAGAAGCACTGAGAAATGTTCTCACTGGTCAGGAAACACTTCCACTGCGGCAGTGGAGCAGGTTGCCCAGAGATGTGCAGGCACCATCTCTGGAGATGTTCAAAGTCCTGAACAGTCCAGTCTGGTGTCGAAGCTGGCTCTGCTTGAGCAGGAAGTTGGACTTGACATACTGAGGACCCTTGCAGCCTGTTTTATCCTGTATCCCAATGAACTGAGCAGTAACATAGCTTTCTTTTGCTCTGTGAGCAGGGGCTACTTGGGTACTTTGATTCCTGCAGCTGTCACTGCTGAGTAGCTGACTGAGATCTGATGCAGGGCAGGTTTAGGTGCTCACTAACACAAGTGGCTGTTCAAGCACAGAGAGTGCTGCTGTTTCCATGTCTCCATTCGGGATCTCAGCATTACTGCAGTGATAAACCACTTACACAAAGAGGAAGTATAACTAATTGTACATACAGTACAGAACCCAACAGTAGAAGAAATGTGAAGATTTATGGGGACCGTTCATGTTTTAGTGGCCATGCACTCACCTTGGCGTTTTCTGTGGTGGTAACGAATTCCAGGGCTTGTTGTTATCCAAGGACGCCGCTAGAGGTGGGCAGTGAGCAGCTGCCGAGGGCACGCTACAGGGCAGGGAATGGAAGCACAGAGGTAGTTGGTGCTCCCCGTGTTTTTTAGGGAAGACGTTCCAGTTACATGCTCAGATTTTCTTGCGTTGAATTGTTTAGACTCGTGGTAGAGTGTTTTCAGTGTGCAGGCTTTTGCTGTTTTTAAAATGTGTTTCTGCATGTTGTATATGTATAAAAAGCTTATTTTTCATAGAATCATAGAATATGCAGAGTTGGAAGGGACCCATCAAGATCATCCAGTCGAACTCCTAGCCCTATGCAGGAGACCCCAAGAGTCACACCATGTACCTGAGAGCATTGTCCAAATGCTTCCTGAACTCAGACAGGCTTAGTACTGTGACCACTTCCCTGGGGAGCCTGTTCAGGTGCTCAACCACCCTCCGGGTGAAAAACCTTTTCCTGATATTCAACCTAAACCTCCCCCAACTCAGCTTCACGCCATTTCCTCAGTCCTGTCAGTGGCCACAAGGGTGAACAGGTTGATACCTGTTTCTCCACTTCCCCTTGCAAGGATATTAATTTTTGTTCCTAGTCAACAGCAGAAAATTTTAAAATATGGTGCTGTTGATGTAAATATACTTGCTTGGCCAGAAATAATTTTGAATGTTTTTGTCTAGCTTTCATTTTTTCCCTTGCTGCAAAATACCAAAAGGCAACACTGACTATTCATTCTATTTTATTACCAAA